CACCAAGATCGGCCAGGGTGCTTCAGGAGGCGTGTACACTGGTCATGAGAGAGGAACCAACAGATTGGTGGCTATCAAGCAGATGAACCTGGAGCAGCAGCCGAAGAAGGATCTCATCATCAACGAAATCTTGGTGATGAAGGACAGCTCTCACCCGAACATTGTCAACTTCATCGACAGCTACCTCTGCGACGGCGAGCTTTGGGTGGTCATGGAGTACATGGAGGGCGGCAGTCTTACCGATGTTGTGACTTTCAACATCATGACAGAGGGACAGATTGCTTCCGTGTGCAGGGAGACATTACGAGGACTTCAGCATTTGCATTCCAAAGGCGTTATTCACCGAGATATCAAGTCTGACAACATTCTCTTGTCCAGCGATGGCAACATCAAGCTGAGTAAGTTACTTGTCTATTCCCATTTTCTTCCCACTCAATGCTAACCTTCGTTACGCCAGCCGATTTCGGTTTCTGTGCGACCATCAACGAGGCCCAGAATAAGCGTACCACTATGGTTGGCACGCCGTACTGGATGGCCCCCGAAGTCGTCACGCGAAAGGAGTACGGCCGCAAAGTCGACATCTGGTCGCTGGGCATCATGGCTATTGAGATGATTGAGGGCGAGCCGCCGTACCTGACCGAGTCGCCCCTCCGCGCGCTGTGGCTGATTGCTACCAACGGTACGCCGCAAATCAAGAACGAGGGCGACCTGTCCCCGGTGTTTAGAGATTTCTTGTATTTTGCATTGAAGGTGGATCCTGAGAAGCGAGCCAGTGCACATGATTTATTAAGAGTGAGCCTTTTTCCCCCTTGCAGATTGAAAACCCATTGATCAATTGGCTGACACTATCTTGCTGTAGCATGAGTTCATGAAATCATGCGTCGATTTAACACAACTGTCACCCTTAGTAAGGGCAGCACGAGAGCAACGAGCGCAAGAGAAAGCTCGAAAAGGCTAAAGCATTGTTTAATTATTCCACCTCATATACACCCCTTCTTTCTTCCCTCTCTCTTTTTTTTAGAGGCAAAATCCCAACAACAGCTAGAGGCATCAAGACACCTTCCATCTTATTTTTCCATCATTGTTATCATCAGAAAGGAAGGACAGAAAGAAAGAAAAGAAAGCCCATTTTTGAATATTAGAGGCATCTCTTCATTTCCCCCCCTTGACTTTTTCCCCCTTCTCAGCCCCCTCTCAAAATATTTCTACCATTACATCTTTTTACAGGAAAAGGGGGGATCTTCTTAAACTTGGGGTGTTATTGCTACTACTATGTGTATCTAGAGCCGCGGGCTCCCTCTTTGCCATGTGCTTGTTCTCATCTAACTCTTTATTTTTTTTGCATTTTTTGAATTCTTTTTCATTTCTTCTGGGGGCACTTCTTACGAAACTTGGTGCTGAATCTTTTTGCTTCTTACCCCTTTTTTTACTTTATTCCTACTTGTTTTTTTTTTTTTTTCTCTATAAAAAGAAAAATCAAGAGTTTTTAGTTAATACCCAGGTGAAAAGAAACGAAGAAAAATGCATACTCGAGAAAAAGAAAAACATATTTTGCTTGCTTGTAGACGAGACTTGAAGGGTTTGAAGATGGCGGTGGATACCTGTCACTTTTATACTTTTTATGTGATGTTCCTAATTGAGGCAGTTTTTGGCGCCTGTCATCTTATGATTCGTGAATGCTATTTTTGTGTTTTGGTATTTTTTGGTAAAGTTTAAATCATGGCGCCTGTCAAAGTGTCGTGAGCCCGCCCAATGATACGAGCTTGGGGGCACACCATGCTACGAGCGAAATAATCAAAAATTACTATGAAACAGGACCAACCGCAGACATTCTTCTTACAGCTAACATATATGTTGAAATAGAAGAGGGCTTCTGTGGGAATTAAGTCTGGTAAATGGCCGACAGAAAAAAAAGTGAGAATCCAGGGAGGTTAAAAATGTTGTGAAGCGAGAGTCGAGTGTACTTTCGGAAGCACAAATTTCGCAGAAGGGAGATTCGGGGGAGGTTAAAAATGCTGTGAAGCGAGAGTCGAGTGTACTTTCGGAAGCACAAATCTCGCAGAAGTGAGATTCGGGGGAGGTTAAAAATGCTGTGAAGCCAGAAGAGTCGAGTGTACTTGCGGAAGCACGTAGACAGATTTTGCAAAAGTGCAGTGATTCCAATTCCCTCTACCCTCTTCTCAAAGAAATAGGAATATGGTATCACTCGCCAATACCGAATTGGTTATTCGTCTCAAACAATCATCACAAGCAATAAGACTCTTTTTTTGAATTTGTAACAGCTCAAAGCCTCTTCATTAATTGATTTGCCTTTTTGGCATATCAGATTTTCATCTAATGTCTCTAATCTTCGTCATTGAACTCGACGTCTAATTCCCTCTATGCTCGTCTGGCTCTGTATACCCCGACCAGCAGACAGCAGACCCAAAAAACTCCAAACAAGTCGAAATCAGAATAGTAAAAAGAAATGCGATGCAACTCTCGCGATAATAAAAACAAGCATCATGATCATGCAGTGGCTCAAAGGCCAACCAAATCCCCATTTTTATAGCTACCCTCAAAATCGACTGCAAATTTCATGCATCGATATCTCCCAAAACTCCCATGTCCAAGCCTTGAGGCCGTAGGACGGTGTCGCTTCCGTGATGATATTAATGTGTTGTGAAAAATGATGTGTCCATGCTAAAAAGAGGAGTTTTCGCTCTTTAGTAGCAAGAGTAACCACCGTCGATGATGACGTTGGAACCAGTCATGAAGCTGGAGGAGTCGGAAGCAAGGAAGACGCAGAGACCGTTGAGCTCATCAACAGCACCGAGACGGTCCTGAGGAGTCAGGGACTTCCAGATCTTCTTCTGGGCCTCAAGGGCGGGAACACGGTTGAGGGCAGTGTCCATGTAGCCGGGAGAAATGCAGTTGACACGGATCTTGTACTTGGCCCACTCAGCGGCGATGGACTTGGCGAACTGGATGACACCGGCCTTGGAGGCGTTGTAGCAGCTCTGCTCCTGGGGGTAGTTGACGATGGAACCAGACATGGAGGCGACCAGGATCAAGCTGCCAGGCTTGCCAGCGGCCATCATGGCGCGGCCAACGGACTGGGCCATCAGGAAAGAACCAGTCAGGTTGATGTCGATGAGACGACGGAACATGGCGGGGTCGTAGGTCTCAGCCTTGATGTTGGAGTCGGCAATACCGGCGGCATTGACAAGGACGTCAGGAGCACCGTAGATCTCGACGACAGAGTCGACGGCGGCGTTGATAGCAGCGCCGTCACGGACGTCGACCTTGAAGAAAGAGACGGGCAGACCAGACTTCTGGTGCAGCTCAGCAGCGGAGGCGTCTCCGAGCTCCTGGTTGGCATCGAAGATGATGATGGCCTTGGCACCGGCCTCAGCGCAGGCCCGGGCCATGTGGTTGCCGAGACCACGGGCACCACCGGTGATGATGATGACCTTGTCCTGGACGGTCATGCTCTTGACGGTGTGGGGGAGCTGGTCGTAGACCTTCTTGTTCAGGGGCTCAACCTCATCGCGCTCGGCGGGGACGGGGCTGTCGTAGGGGACCTTGGCGGCGCCATCAGGGACCTGCAGAGTCTGGTGGGCGCCCTCGCCCTGGCCGTAGACGGTGACGGGAACCTCCTTCTCGCGGACGACGCTCTTCTTGTTGGCGGTGTCAGACACGCGGACGGCGCGGGTGGCAGAGAAGAAGCGGACGGCGTTGCTGGGGGCGGCAACACGAGAAGCGGCGGAGAAGTTGGCGACGCGGGAGGCGCGCAGCATGCTTCGTGTAGAGAAAGACATTGTGAATGTGATGTGTCTTTGTGTGTGAAGAGAGGAAGATGGAGATGATGGAGGAAAGGAGTTCTTCGTAAAGCGGTGTAACGAAGGCTCGCTGTTATATAGGAGTTTGGAGGTGGTGAAAGATAGTAAACGATGGAAAGATCTCTTGCAGTGTGAAAAGCCGTGAAAGAGAGATGACTTTCTGTCTATATGCTGTGATTGCTTGCGGGATGACAGAGGTGCTTGGTATGCAGAGGAAAAGGGAGAATGGCTGCTTGCAAACAGCCGTCGAGGCGTGTCTTGATATAGATTTCGGCCAAGACGCACAGCTGGAGGATGTGGGGGCGATACCTGGCAGAAAAAAAAAGTCGAGGGGCAGCTAGCGCGGTGGGCCCTCGGTGGATGCGGCCAGGGGGCTGCAGTGGGTGTGCATCTGGGTCTCAGCGATGGCGAGTGGGTTTTCAGTGGGTGGGCGCTGCATTCGACTAGAAGCTTAGCGCGGCGGGAGGTCCGGCAGCGCAGCCCCCCTGTAAGATGCAGCGAGGTACGTACCTCCGCCAGAAGATTCAGGTTGCATGGCAATTGGGATACAGACACATTCGGAACGCGTCCATTGATTGCTCTAAAATTAAATCCCTGCCCAATGGTGGCCAGAGGCCGGCTCACGCGCGCCACCTCGGAGGCGCAACTGCGATTGCAATTCCAATCAATTGCCAGGAACTCCGTATTCGCAGGGCCAGTCTGTACCGAGAGACCTGCTTTGCAGTACAAGCACAGGTACATGCAGCGGTTGGATGACCTGGAGGGGCAGAGGCCCATTACCCCTCTATTCTCACCTGTACCAGTACAGGATCTTCACCACCCGTGCTTCTTCCGCTATCTCGTTGCTTCGACTCTTTTTTCGACAGCTTTCTTGGTGGCGGATCCGTAGATATGCACTCCTGTGTGGGTTTTTTATGGGCGTGTGACGCAAAGCCAGTGCCGATTCTTTCTCTGGCCGTGATAGCACGGGGTCTCGGAATCTGCCTTGGTTTAACATTTGCTGACAGCTGCTAGACCGACCGCCGTGAGCCAGCGCCGTGATGCCGATCGAACATGAGATTTACCTGGCGGTGCGCGGTGCCAAGAAGAACAACATTCCGTGGCAACGCTCATCGGCCTTGATTTACACTGCTAATCAAGCTTCGTTTACATCACACGAAATGCATCCTCCCGAAGCCCATGCATCGCTGCCAGAGGAGAGTCGAGGCCTTGCAAGCTGCAGCAGGAGATGCGTTCTCGGCCGCCGTCCAGCGTTGCTCGCCGAAGCCGTTCTCCAAATTTCTTACAGAGCCCAATTGGACACTGATTGGACAGGAAAAAAAAATCTTTTTTTCCTCTGCAGACCCTGTACAGATAACGTGGCTTGGTAGAGTTTGTGGTGTTGTGGCGAAAAAGCGACAATGCGCGTTGGTCGGGCGCTTTTCGCCCTCGATCGGGGTTTACTCAAAGATCTATTGCCGTATCGGATCCGAGCACAGCAGAGAGGCAAAACCTGGGGTTGCACTTCTGTCGCTGCATCTGCAACCAGGCGATCAAGGCCAAACGATCGAAGCTGGACTGGACAAAGCTCTCTCCGAAGAGGAGGACAGTATCTTTGAAGCTCTCCCCGCCACTATGCAGCGCAGACCAGCTAGTCTCACCCCGAGCGCAGCAGAGACACGACGGTGAGACATGTGCCAAGGGGTCTAGAGAAACCCAAAGACGCCAAAGCCATGCGAATCCTTTGTTCCGCTTGCGAGGAGGGGTATGTAGAAGGAGCCTCGTTTCCAGCCCTTGACATTGCTGTAGTGAGCGAGCGCCAAAAGATGTCAAATCTGCCGAGTGAATGTTGACGAGAATCTCCAATTCGCCATTGTTTGATAAATGCACCTTGATAGTGACCTACAAAAGATGCATAGAATACAAAGGCATCAAGCTACCAGGCATCAAATTGCAGACAGCTTCGCATCTGCCCAAGTCGCCGCAATAGCGGGGCCTGCTGCCGGCGAGCCCAGTGCTGCAGTAGCACTGCTACCACCACACGCTGCCGGCTACTGCTACAGCGCTCAGCTAGCACTGCCCACAGCGCATCTCGGCAGCCGCAGTTTTCAATGTTGGCACCCCTCAACTGCCCAACACAACCCTCCGAGTCAACATCTCCGTGCGACCTCAACCCAGTCCCGCGCATGAATATCTCTGTGTCAGCGTTTTCTTGCTGCTGTTGGAATCCGCGCCGCCCTCAATCCGAATCCGTCCGCCAATCTGTTCTCCTAGCTTTCTAGGCCCTGATGGACCTCCCAGGCATCGACATTCTTTGGCGTGCCCGTGGGGGTTCCCACTGGCCCCGAAAGTAGGGAGCCGGCCGTGGTTCCTGGGTGCGACGGTAGATGTGGCGCTGCCCGGAACGTTTTGGCGCAACGCAACCCTCCCTGGCATGAATCCGGTCCCGCACAGAGCATCTTGAAGTCAAGCTACTGCTAGTAGCAGAAGTTGGAGAATGCGGGATAGAGGCCAGCTACAGCTACAGCTACATGTGTACCTTCAACCTCACTGCAAGGCAACTGTCGTCGTACATGCAGAAGATGCGGCGTGAGCGACGAACTCCTGTCGGACTACAGCCTACAAAGGAATCATGCTTACCTATATTACAGGAGCTTTCCCCCAGAGAATGCGTCTCACTCAGCCAAAGGATTGCGGCAGTCTCTGCATCAGCAAATCTTGAAGCACCGTAGCTGACGCATCCATCTTCCAAGAAGCGATGACCAAACGAAGCCCTCTCATGTTTCCAAAGAAAGAAACCTCGGTAATGGCAGCCGATGGCGCCGTAAAAGATTTTTTCCAATCAGCAGCATGCACCGGGTGAGCACCTCTCGACCCAAAAAGATCAAGCAACACGCATCAAACACTCTTACGAATACCAAGATGCATCTCAGCGAGTCAGATAAAGGCCTCAATGACGCACTGTCGCTGTCCGCTCTCCTTGTCTTCATCCCGGCCAGCGTGGGTTTCATGGCGTCAGCGGGCCTGAAGAGGACCCCGTGGACCCCTGAATCTTCTTGATTGTTCTCAGCATCAGCCCTTGAAGCTACGAGGAGGAAAAAACTTAGATCCCGTTGAAGCCACATATCCCATTTTTCTTTTTCCTTTTTTTTCTCTTGTTTGCTTCACAGAATTTAATTACAAAAGTGGCGACCCATTCAGGCCCGGTGTCCAGCCTCCCCCCCACGTTCTGCGCGCCACTGAGGTATTGGCTGGGGCTTCTGCATCGGCTTCTGGAAGCACGGCACACCAACATGAGGTCGCCCTAGGAAACTTCTGTGGGGACCGTAGACACGCTGTGGCCCACAGGGCCCACGCACGAGTTGACAGAGAACATGGTGGTCGATCAGGCAATGGGACCCGGACACTGCTTGGCTGCCAGAAGCGGAGCACTCTACTTCCACAAAGGACGAAAAAAGGTACCCGTACGCTGAGATTATACGGCTCCATGCCCCCAGCCTCGTGGAGATGGTATGGAGTATCGAAATACGTCTGCCTAGAGGTTTACGGGGCTCTGGGGCAAGCTTACAGCAAGCCTTCTGGGGACGCAGAGTGCTTTTTGGCCTACAAACACATACCAAAGCAAGCAACACAAGAGGGGAAGCGAGCTAGGATGAAGAAATTTCTTGCAAGAATGAATGGATGGGGAGAAGCGTTGAAACACAAGAAATGCGGTGTGCCAACGTAACGTCCTGCTTGCAGCTAAGCGGGAACACATGCTCAAAGTTGCCGCCAGACCTGCGATTTCGGCCTGGGCCCTCTGTCTCTGGCCATTGGGCTCAGCCAAGCTGCCATCTCAGCGCTTCAATTTGTCTTGTCCTTCTCTACAAAGTATGTGTGGGATGATCACCCCTGAGTCGTCGCCTCGTCATCGTATTGGCGACATTGCTTCGTGTCACAAGACTGAGGCTGTAAGCGAGAACAACCAGGATAAACCAGCCATCTCACTATGCAACTTATCCGGATCGTCAGGACTCGCTTCTCAGGGTCCTCGATGCGATCAGCTCTCGCCGCATACTCCGTGAAGATGGTCTCCCCACCGTTTTACTTTAGCGCAGTTTTCTACCGTTTTCCCGCAACGGGAAGACGCCAGTGTGGTCGTTAATAAGGTTGTTCGAAGCCTCCTTGGCGAGGGAGGTCTGGCAAGGGTAGCTCACCCTTGTTAGCGCTGCTACATAGTGCAGGGTCTCTCCAGGAGCGTGGAACTGATGTATACTGGTATTTTTTTGGCCCCCTTTTCCCTTCCAAAATGTTGAGAGTAAGTTACGGTACTGATGCCCTCTTTGAGAATCTGCCCAGCTGCAAACGGCGTCATGTGGTAGCTGACATGCATTGCATTGTCTCAGGTCATCGGGCTTTGTGGCTTCAGGTGCAAAAACGGACAAGACATGGCCGGCATTCCTCGTATGCCCAATGCACTGTTCCAGCCTCTCTTCTGTCGAAAAGACGCCATTTTATATGCTATTCACCCATTTCACTTGGCTGAATTCAGACCATGTCCCTCATAAACTAGCAATAAAGACAACTACACCAAGACTTGCTTGATCGTCCCATACAGAGACAGCCTCCAACAATCTGCATTCGCACCCGCCTCAAGAGCTGGTCAAAGCTCCTGTTCAGTCTGCCTGCCGACACCCCGGATTTCGCGAACCGATGCGGAAAAATCAAACTGTCCGCATGACCACTGCGAGATTGGCCTGGGTTTATTTCCGGGGGCCGGAGCACGACACCGTTGCCGGCTCCCCACGTTTCCCAATTGATGGTTGGCGACTAAGCCGTGCGGTTGCCGGCTGACGGTTGGTATGTACCGTCAGCCCCTGAGCCACCACCTCCAAAGATACTCGTCAGCTTCGTTTTGGGTGCCCTTGTGTCCTCCTGACCTTGCTAAGATGAAGCTTTCATTTCGGGGCTTCGGAAACGACGCTCCTCTACTATGGAGTAGTTATGGAGTAGTCTTCCGGAAAGATTTTCCATTTACTAACAGCGGTTTAGTTGGCACAATGATGAGGCTCAGACCACCAACACAAAATACTAGGCCTAGGTCCTAGCAGAATGCAAAGTTGGGTGCGGGCTCCAATGCTAAAAGTGGCCAGAAAATTTTTATGTAGCTGCCTAGACCCTCTTCTCCTCACCAGCGACAAGATGGTGTGGTCAAAGCTGCATTGCCGGCAGTCGAGGCGCGATCTATTGAATTAACGTCTCTGGATGATTATCCACACGCAAACACACACCACACAGGAGACATGCTCCGAGTGCGATTGCGGCTCCCACGACTCACGCTTGTTCTTTAGGTATCGTCAGTTTTCAGTTTTCGAGGGACGGGGGCTTCTTGGGCGGAAACCGCCCTCCCCCACATCGGGCAAGATGTGGTGGTGCATCCCGGCCGCTCTAATCCTACCCCACGCCTCGGAGCAGCTCAGTCCAACAATACGAACAAGATTAGCTTCTAGCAGACCATTCGCAGGCTCTACAGAGGGTGAAGGTACATACACTTGATGCTCGATGGCAACGCGGCGCTCGCCCCCTTAACACCACTTGCTCTCTGGTCAGCTCATTATCACGTTGTCTAGACCGGACCGCGCCCCATCAACTGTGGCGGCCGCTATCAACTATCTACATTCTACTGCATTGCATTCGCGTCGCATCACAACACATCGCATCGCATGACTACCTTACTTAGTAACCCGCACCAATTCGAGCTGTGAAGTGGTAGTGCTTTAAGATGCAGCTGTGTCGTATCACCTTTTCCCAAGATTTTAGGTTTCTGATCTATCGTGACCCGATGAGAGGCGAGACCCGACGATGCGTCTGAGAGCTTCCAAGAATCCTTTATGCAGATCCAGCCCCTCCCCTCCGGAGCGCACCTCCGTATCCCTTGAAGAGGAGAGATGGATGGTTATTTGTTGACTTGTAAAGTACCTTCATCACATGCAAGTGCCCAAGCATTTCACGCTCAAGGTCTGCATTATTTCACTCTGGCTGGTCAGGTTCTGGTGCATTGCATTGACGCCTAGCGCCTGATGTCTGCAGTAGCATCATGTACTCTCTGTGCTTCTGCATTGTTGGGCTATCAGTACAGCATCAGGCAGGGTGGTGGCCCTCCCTTACTCTACTAGCCTCACTTTGTGGCATCCTGTACGGTGTGGCTTTACCAGGAACAGGGGAAAGCGGCAAACCTTGCAGGACGCTATTGTTCATGGCTGTGTGCCGAAGGTGCGTTGACGAGCAGCATAGTTTTTTTCGCTAAATGGAAGCAGGGGCTGTCTCGTTTGTCACTGTGATGGGTATTCCTTCTGCTTTCTTTTTTGTTACAGCTTCGTCCAGTAAGAAAGAAGCATGGAAGGGGGTGTGTGACCATTTCAAAGAACTTGCCTATTAAAAAGAGGATTTCTTGCAATAGCTCGCTATAAATCAGTCCCTAAACGGAGAGCAAACCAAAAGGCAAGCATAACTCGGCTCCCTAAAATGACTACCTAGTCCTCTTCACTATCCCACCTCCTCCATCCATCCATCCATCCATCATTACCCATAAACGCCGGGGTATTAGAACCACGCGTGGCTAAACCTCGTATCATTGTTACTGTTACATGTCACATTACCCCCAATCTCTTGTAAAAGAAAAAGAAAAAAAGTGCAGAGCAGGAGAGCTCATTCTCTACTGTGTACGTCTATGAAGAACGTGACTGCTTCTCGTCTAAAGCTGTGGTAAAAGATACCCAGTGCATAATAATGCTGCGAGCTTTGATTATCGCGGTTTTGCGGTCTTCTAATCACGTTCAGGCACCGGGATGATTAGCTCCAGCAGGGACGCAATATATGGGCTCTGTAAAACAAGCTGTGTTAGTAAACAGTAAACAAACAAGTAAGGAGGAGACTAATCAACAAGGTATTACGTACCATGGCAAGATTTTCTGCCAAAATGCCATACAGCTGTGATAAATGCGGCCGGAAGAGCTTCTCATTCCATCCTCCCTTCTCAGGACTCCTAGACTGTTCCTTGAGGAGCTCTTCCTCGGCCTCAGTCTTGACTACATTGCGGGCAATGTTACGGAGCACCAGCACGGCGCTTAGCGGGATACCGCCAGCCTGGGGAGGGGCGTCGGGTGTCCGCTCATCTCGGAACGTCGGCGTCTCTTCCAGCACGATGCTCATAGTCTTGGCCGGGACGATCCACTGGCTCCGCTGGTGCCTATGCACGGCATTCGGGCCAGGGATCATCGTGGAGATGTGGGTAGTGATGTGCCGCGCAAAGCTCTGCAGGTTCATCTTGGTCGGCTTGTCATACTTGGTACACTCGCCCCATGTGCACTGGAATTCCTTCTCGGCATTAGTGTACTGGCCGTTGGCGCCCCTCTGTTCGTTCAGGTGGGTGTTGAGGATGTGGTTCCACATCTCCTCCTGCTTCAAATAGAAGTGGCCGCATTTCTCGTTCTTTTTATCAATGTTGGTAGCCCACAAACAGCGGCCATATTCGGAACCGTCAAATGCAAGGGGCCTTGGTCGGGCGCGAATACCGTGGATGATAAACTTCTGCTGCGGGTCACCAGGCTCTCGAAGCACTTGGGCGTTGGAGTCCTTGTAGACAGACGTGCTGTTCCTGATGAAATCGGCGGGTGTAATCATTGGCTGGTTGATTGTCTTCAAGGGGGTGGCGAATGCCGACTGGTAAGCCTGCCAAGCGGCGAGTTGGGTGATAAAGGACCGGTTGTCCTCCTCAAAGAAGCACTTGACCCACTGGTGGACTCGATCAGGCTCTTCTAATCTGAGCATTTCTTGCAAAAGGTCGTCGGGCATGGGAGCAATGTCGTCTTTCGCTGGCATCCTCTGCTCCTGCTCGATTGTGTAGTCCCTGGTATATTTGCGAGCCCCGTGAGCCAACAAGCGAACAAGTTGCTGCACCAAGTTGTCAGGCACGATAGATCGCACCAGGTTGTCGAGGTTCGGCACAACTGCAGTATATTGATAGAGAAAATCGAGACAAGCATCAATGAGCTCATCATCGTTCAGCAGAAGCCAGTTCACGATTCGCTGAAGCACCGGGCCTGGAACTTCACCCAGCTTGTTTGTAGCCTCTAGGTTCACTGAAATCCTACCAAGTGCACGAAGTGCTGTCAGGATGGTTCCTCGATCTTCGGATGCTAACTGAGACAAAAGGCTCTTGTATAAGGGGTCATCAGATTCCAGAGTCATGAAAGGTGTCAGCTGTTCCGCAATATCAAGAGCAAGTTGCTTGACTTCCGTAAGGGAATCTCTCGCCGGCAGCTGCAAAAGAATACATATCAAGTCTTTCACCGGGTGAAAATCCGACATGTTGTGCGCATTTTCAGGCAGCGTCACCATGTTTCTGATGGTAAGTATCGCCTCTGTTGTCAAAACCATCTCATCAGCGAACTTTTCGGTCTGGATAACGTCTGGTATCTCCCTTTCGATCAAGTTTTCGATTCTCTCCAGGATATCTGGTGTGCCGTAGTTGCCATCCAAGCAGCCAACATCATTTGAATCGGTAAAAGAGTCCCAAGACACAGTCCAGTTGACGTGGTAGAAGAGGCTGCCTATCTGCAGTGCCTTCTCCACAAGCCCCTCAGCCAGTCCCGGGAAAGAGTCAAACTTGTACTTATCACCTCGTTCAAATGATATCTTCACCAAGTGGTTGAGCGCAAAAGCTTGCTCTGCGGTAACACCGGAACGAAGAGCATTCAGGCAACGAGTGTAGATATTAGGGCCATCAAAGCCAGCTACCAACGAATAGCGTTAGCACGAATATCTCTCAGAATCTCTTTTAAACTTACTGCCAGGCTGCATAGGCTGTCTGTTGGCAGAATCCACAGGAAAGCGGTGCGGTAGCCTTGCTTTAAAGAATTCGCCCGGCGCATTACTTGGAGTTGCCACAGGGCGTAGTTGGAGTGGTTTCATTGGCTTCGGTTGATAAGAAGTGACTAGATGTGATGTGTTTTCAGAGTTGGGAGGATGATGTAAGATTGAGGGGCCTCTTGAGTTGTTGTGAATTGCCATTGGCGGCATCGGATGGACGGCTGAATGGTGAGCGGCGGCTTGCTGGCCGTGGTTAATGGCTGGTGAGGCTGAATTATTGCCCTGCTGGTTTGACGCCTGTCTTGTGGCTCGAGCTGGGCCTGTATCGGGCTGGAAGATGACTCTCTGCGGAGGCGCCTCGCGAAGACCACGAGAAGCTCGAGCGCTTGAGACAGGGTCTGGTGCCGGTCGTTCACGCGTCGGGGTGCCATCATCACCAGAAGCAGGGCTGTCTGTGGCCCCGACGTTGCTCTCTCTCTTGCCGCGAAAGTTTTCTCTCGTCCGTGTTAGGAGGCTCGCACCCTTAGCAGTGACATCCTCCAAGATATCCTTTGGCGGCGGTTCCTTTCCGTGGACTGTTTTGATCTCGTATGCGGCCAGGTTCTTGTAGAACTTCTCCTTGAGAGCAAAAGCCGTTGACGCCTCGTTATTGGAATGTAGGCCAAGCTCTGCTGCCATTCGCCGCCATGCCAGCTTCTCTTCCGATACTTTATCGTATCCACCATTCGCGACTATATGATTGAAGACCTTGAACAGATCCAAATGGATCATTCCAACCTTGGGTTCCGGGTCTAGCGTCGTGCCTCGTAGGGTGTGGTAATCCTTGAGCTTGGTCATAAAGTCTTCATATTCGGGTGTCCTCTCGATGGAGTGCAGCGGCACTTCCTGAGGGGATGAAGTCATTTTGGCGAATACCAGCCGAATTCCGATTGCACTTTATCGATTTAATGACGATTGCTATCGAATTGGACGTTGTCCAGCGCAGTAGTCGCTACTGGCAAACGGCGCTCCAGCTATTTATGCCTTGCGCGTCTTCGGTGTCGGTTGAATTGGGACAAGTGAGTGTCGTATATGGTTCGGCTAAGTGCGACACGATCGTTTTTCGCGATGGATCCGTCCAAACTCTCTCCTGCGACTCTTAACGACGGAGCAATCGTCAGCACCAAAGTCGCCTCGCGTGCGGTCTCTGGCAAGGCTGCAGCTATCGTGGTTGGCGCGGCGCGACGAAAATCGGCTGGCGCACAGGCAATCTTATCTGCACGTGAGATGGCTCCCCACCATGGCCAATCGGAGACTTGCCATGGTAGCTTCCCTGGCGCATCTCAGATCGAACCAGCCCGCAGCAGCTCTTTCTTAGTCTGCGAAGGGACAAAACAACACAACTTCAGATTATAGTCTTGGTCCTCTTTTCAATCTTGTTCAGTTCGAGTCATCTACAGTCGTTTGGCCGCATATCTTCCAAGGGATATTCACTCGCTACCACACCAAATCAAGACGAAATCCTGTACTTTCAGCCATGACGGCACTCCCACTCTCTGGATGTCCTCTCAAGCGCTTGGAGATCCATGGCGGGTCCACCCACAGCTCGTATGACGCCGCCAACTTGGACAGTTCCTTGACGGCTACCCTAGAAGCTCAGCGATCTACCACCGGAAATCACAGCAATCTGTTGCTTCAATCTCATCTAGGAATTCAGCGAATAGTTCGTATTTCCGGATGTGTTTTTCCTTTCTTCTTTTTCTATGGTTGGTGGTCATCTAATGGCATTAGTTTTCTATACAACTTGCAGACCTCAGCGACACATCAAACAATGAAAGAGAAATCTTGGAAAGTTACGAGCCGTCCCTCAGTATAAGCATAAAAATCCATCGAACTCGACAGAATGTAGTGTTTTCATTCGAAAGGAAGCAAGATTTCAACCACGCAATGGCCATACTCAAACGTATTGGATACCGTGCTCAAAATGGCATCCTTCCCGCATTGCATGCTATTGATACCAATGATACTACGGCTCAATCCGACCCTGGGCCTATCTCGCCATATCACTTCGGACCTCGCTTAAGTTCGTTCACTCCTTCTGGTAATGGAGCGCAACAACTCTCTCAATCCCAATTTTCATTCACATCCATGTTGAATTCCGACGTCCCTTTAACCCAACTTCTTCCATCGGGCATGACGGAGCAGTGCTTTCATCAGCCTCTACCATACAGCGTACCACAACAGTCGCGCCGACAGAGTGATCCAGCAACGGTATTTAATCCACATGCAGATCTACAAAATGTTATTATCAATCAATCAAAAATACTGTATCAGCCACGAATTAGTTCACCTTTGCGACATGCTGTACCTGTCGATGACCAATACAAGGCCCCTAATTTACCAATGCCAAACAGTCAGCCAATGTTCTTTACCGACTATGCGGATATCTCACCTTTATCAAGCTATCCGTCTGCATCCGAACCCAACTCACAATCAAATCATTCACAGCTTTCAGAAGCCTCAGTTACAAGCTACGATACATCGCTAGACCACCAAGTTGGCCCTCCAAGCAGCCAAGAGAGTCTCACTTCTGTAGAAAGCTCCTCACAAGCTACAGACACGACTGATGACAATTTTCAATTACAGCTGGGGCAAGATTTTCGCAAATATCTGCCACGAACGCGCAGTTTGCCATTTCTAAAAGGCAAAGATTATAAGGTTGCGAAATCAAAGCTGAAGACTAAGCAAAACCAACGGCATGGCAATTCGCAGGAGAAAGAAGCCATTGACAAGAATGCGGATGTACACAGAAAGGGAAAAAGTAAAGTGGCAGGTTTAAATGTTGTTGACTCTGAGTTTAATTTGCATCACACTCCGCCCCAATCAAAAGCCTCACAAGTTAGCGACACTCCAACTTGCCACTCCTCTTTTGAAGAGACTAAACTATCCACCATGTTGATTACTGACCCTACCCTACTAGAGAGAGCGAACAAAGCCACTTCGCAATTATTTGACCAATATAATGAAGACCTCAGCCGGGGCTGCGATGCTGCTTCTTACGCTGGATTCTACTTGGAGCAGATTCAAGCTGTTCGAACAGAGTTCTGGTTGAACGAGCTAAGTCAGATTGATTGAAGTAAAACCAGGAGTGAAAGTTTGTATAGAGCCTGTGTCCTAAAGGCCGTTGGTGCTAGTAGTGGTCTCGAAAGCCTCTTTAACCGACTCGCCTCAAGACTGTCTTTATACGGTGTTTGATCTATCCATGATATCTTGGTCATCTCGAAAACGCTTTTGGACAATATATCGAGTAGGAAAATACGTGTGTCGAGATGGAGTCAGATACGGCATTGATACTATTGTTGGTAGATACGCAAGCATCTTAATATACTACATATGCCGCTTCCTCTCCCCTTTTTAATGGAGCACGTTGGTTTAACAAACTTTACCTAGGTAGGTAGCAATGCTCGAAAAGGATTTTATGACTAGCGATGTATATAGGTACTCTGAGATACGCTTTCTTGTGGAACTTTCATACTTTGTCGTCGTAAGCTCGCAGAGATTCTTCAGCTATATAAAAGCCACCTTTTTCTCTCAGAGTCATCAATTTTTTCCACCTTCTTTCATCTACCTATACTTTATCTTCATTCCTACAAGCCTTCCGTTTTCTACCGTAAAGTCAAGAACCATACACCAGTAAGACATCTCCCAGAAATGTCTATCCAAAACACATTGCACTGCGGCGAGGCCGACTCCCCATACAGCTGGGAGCATGTCCCCAACGACATCCAACCCAGCGACCTGTCCGGCGCCGTCATCACCAGATACGTCGGCAGTCCGAGGGATAACCAGCCTGACATTATCGTCGCCGAATACGCCACTTGCAACGACATCCGGAGACGATGGTTTTTCCAGTGCCCAAAGGAAGAATATCGTGGCCTGATGGAGGGCATTGAAGAAGCACCGTTGGCGCTTTGGGTAGCGTCGCCTGCTGGCGATGGGACTGAGCGCTGGGCTGAGGTTTTCAACTGGCTTCCCTTTCGGAGGCCTACTGTGGAGGGCTACATCTTGTGTTGTTCGCTTACTGTACTATGAGAAACAACGAGGCGGATGTGAAATATGGTGTGAATGATTGAATGGCCTACATTCATTGCTATCGTATAATGCGAATGGACTAGATGCCTATGGAGTTGGTTGTACGAAGGAGTGGCAGAGTGAGGATATCTCTTTGGAAGCATAAACGCCAAACATGAGCGAAACATGAAAGACACATGTAACAAACATAGGATAGCCAAGCAATAAAAAGCTCTCGCAAAGGCAAATCAAACAAATCTCAATGGAAAGGAGGTAATATTGCTTCTCACAAAACCTTTCTCTCATCCCTGCGCCTAACTTCATCACCTCACTGCAAACCTCTCACTGCTAAACCAACAATTCCAAAAAAACAACTTGGCTATCCATCAAACGTGAAAACTTCATATACCCAGAAGAGCACCGCAAAAAGGCGTGTATAAGAGAAGAGAGAAAAAGAGGAACATGATTCAATTCAAACCGTTTCGAGTAAAAAGCCGTGTTAAAACAAGTTGGTATCCTTCCAATTGGAACCCCTTTTTCCAAGAAGAGAAAAAAAAGAAAAAGAAAAGAAAATGTGGAAAAAGTTATGATGGCAAAGAAAAATGAAAAAGCAGCAGTCTTTGTGGTATCATAGGTATCACAGGTATCTCGATTTCCATCTCTTTACTCCCTCATCTTAACGTAGTTACTCGGGAAAATGCCGTGCCGTGCTCCAATTTGACCGGTCCTAGAGGTGTAGATTGTTAGCCTCGTACAATGCTTCCGCCAGGCAAAGCAAATACAATACTCACCACCAGTCGTTATCGCTCTCCGTCTTCTTGAGTATCGTAATGATGTCGCCCTTCTTGAAGGCCAAGTCGCCAGGCTGGTCTGCATCAAAGTTGAACAAGGCCACAGCCTCGTTGGACTGTAGCGCAGCCTGTCGGTTTCCAAACGAAGGCTTGGGAGCAGTAGGACGTCCAGGGGGAGCCTTCTTCTCTGCCGCCGGCGCATCATGCCACCTGTAGTCGTCGCCGAAGCCTCTCGTGCCACCGCCCACGGTGTTTGAGCGCGACGGCGCATTGAAGCTGTCCCTGTCGTACACATCGTCCTGCCAGGTGTTTGAGCGCGAGCGGTTGGACCGCTGGCCCTCGCCGTACGCAGCGCCCTGGCGGCCCTCCCAGACGACGTCGTCGTGGTTGTCGTCGTACACGGGCACGTCGTTGTACATGGTGTCGTCGGACTGGCCCTGTCTCATGCCGGCAAAGACCCTAGAGTTGAGAATGGTCATGAGGGGCGCGGCCTGCGGCGGCGGCGGCACCGACCCCGTAAGCAGCTGCTGCGCCGTGTACCGCGTGCCGTAGAGCTTCTCGTTGGCATCGCGGCGCTCGATGATGGCGGAACCCTCGAGCGATACGCCAGCGAACAGGCCCTTTGTCTTGGAGTAGCTGAAGATGCCGGCCACGCTCTTGAGCGACGCTGCGCCGGCGGCCTCGGCATTGCGCCCAACAGGGCCCGCCGCCAATGACACGTTGCCTCCCAGGGTGATGGACCCGGCCTGCGCAAACGTCTTGACGGCCGAGGTGTCGTTGAGGATGAAGACAAAGTCGGTCAGCTCGAAGCCAATCTGGCCGCCGAAACCTCCTCCCAGCGTCCCAATAGCGCTCGGGGCGCTCCAGGTGCCGTCGGGCAGTCGAGCGACGACGAGGCCGCTGCCGAATCGACCAGATCCGAGGAATCCGGCCTTGAAGACGGTGATGATGGCGAGGCCCTTTGCGTTGGAGAGCACCGAGGGCGGGATGATCTTGTCCGGGCCAAAGGCCTGTCGCGGATTGATGAATGACGTGAGGATCTTGCCGCACTTTTTGCATTCGGCTGTTTGATAGTAAACGTCAGTTTCAAGCTTCACAACGCACACAAACAGCTTCTGTATTCACGGCGCCGCAAGGTTGCTGGCCGCGCGCGAATTAACATAAATCGGGCCACTTACACGCCATGGAGGCGGGGAGAGGGTTGTTGATGCCCATCGTGTCTGGCGTGGCCTGCGCAAGGCGGTCTCCCAAGCGATGCTGGCAAAGGGCGATCCGGAGGCTGAAGAAGCAGAGGCTGACGAGGATATAAAAATAAAACAAAAGTATATAGAGCGAGGACTGGATGCTGCACAAGAAACTGCCTAGAGAGAGGGTGGGTTGCGTCAGCACGTCCATACAGGCAAACTGAAGAAAAATAACGGATCCAGTCAACAATAAGCTGGGGACTCGGCGACCGCGGCGGGGTGGTAGAGGGGAGGCCAACGTCCGCGGTACTGGGTACCGGCGCGTGCGGGCAGGATCCAGCGAATGCAGCGTGTATGGAGTACCTTTTGCGAGCCGGGATGTTGCCTGTCGTACCCTTGTTGATGGTGACGTGCGGTGTTTACGGGCGGGTTGACAGTGGGCAGCGCCCTGGAATTTTAGCAGTTTGACAGCGGGTGCAGGTATCGTGACAGTGCTGGAGTTTGGTCGGAGTTGGGCTGAGGCGAAAAGAGAAACTTTAGGCCAGCTGGTGCCCTTTTTTTTTAGCTGGTCTGGTCCTTTTCTTCCCTTAGATCAGAGATCGCTCAGAGGTCGCTCAGCCACAAAGCGAGCATCTTCATCTCCCAAGTTCCAAGCACGGCGACGGGGCGAGATGAAGAAAGATATAGAAATGAAGAACAAGCTGGATTGACTCAAAGCAACCTCAGCAATACGCGGGCAACCCGATCTAGTTATACGTTAAACGCGTCGCATTACGAATCAACTCAAAAGCTAACTTGGACTGCTTCCGTGTATTTCACTCGACCACGCAGCCCGATCAGCGCTTTGGAAGCATCAATTGGCAGCAGCATCTCCAAGCCCGGATTTCCGGCCCCACAGCCGCGTGGTTTTGCGTGGCGGTGCGGAAACTCGTTCGTTGCATGTCACTAAGAAGCGCCTGTGGAAGAGCGCTGAAACGCTGAAAGCGCAGAAGGGTGGGCTTGTTTTCCCGCCACTGCGCTGCACCAATGGCCAAAACTTGACTAAGAGCATCGTCCATCCGACTCGTCTTCCCCCGGACCATTATTCATTCCGACACCTGAAGCCTCCCGGTCCATTGCCATCGTCATCCACTTGGAATCAACCATCGTGACTGGTTTCCTCTTCTTCACACAGTACCGAGCATTTTTACTCGTCCTTTTATTTCACTTTAACTTTGTATTGCGCGCTACCGCCACAAGCAGCCAATAGCGTCTTTAGATCTCATCAACGAATCCTTTCCCACGAGCGCATTCGGCTTTCGACACCACTCTCTTTGAATAATCAATCTACGAGCAAAGCTGGGCTTTCCAACCTCCAAACCGACGACACATTTCTGGCGATACAGAGCGCCTCACGCAAAGATATAGAGAGGAGCCAATCAATACAACAGAGCGCCTATCCCAAACCACCGCCACCATGTCCGAGGCCTACGAGCGCGAGCGCCAGAACAACGCTCGTCTGGAGGAGCTCTCCTCTAAAGTAACCGCCCTGCGCGGCGTCACCGTCGACATATATGATAACGCTCGTGCTCAAGATGTCATCGACAACACTGTATGCCAACTCCCCTCCAAATTCCTCGTCGAACGAAGACCGACAAAACTCTACGTTGTTTTTCGTTGTTGCTAACGGGGCCCCCCTTATTTTAGTCTGATACATTCACCTCCATGACCTCCCAGTTCAAAGGATCAGCGTCCCGATTAACACGCATGGCCGCTTCCGGAAACAACGTCGCTATATTAAAGCTCGCGGGAATTATCATCGGGGCGTTTCTACTGCTCTACTATGGCCTTAAATTGATCTTTTGAGACATTGGGGCAGGCGGGCGAAAGCGATGCGAAACGAAGGTCTAAGATGGGATATGGGGCGTATACATACTAGACAGGCGAGCAAGCCGTGTACAGCAATCTCTTTTATTCTCTCTTTTTTTCTTGTCACCTTTTTCTTTGGTAATTGTCCTTTAGGATAAGGGGAAGATGCGGTTCGGCTTCAAAAGACAATAAATACCCCTGGCGCGCTACCCGGAGTTGTTTCTTATTTGATTTATATGAGCATATCAATTTTTACATGGTTATAGCAATAAACAATTTAATGGAACATTATCAATTATACAATAAATACTTCCAAGACATTAAATCACATAAGATTCATCACACCACAGGCAGACATGTATGCCATGGCCACGCAGCTCTATGCCTCCTTTCTCTTTTTTTCGTGCAATCTACAAGACTCCTAACATGCAAAACGCCCATTAACATGCCCGCCTACCCAATTGTGCAACAGATGATATAAACCTTTCCCCTTGTCTTGCCAACTGCTTTTCATGAAAAGGAAAAATCAGAAAAGAAAGACACCCTACTGCCAGACATTGTTGAACAAATCGTCATTGCCTCCTCCAAAGCCTCCCTGGTTGGGTGTCGCGCCAGAGTTAGCTCCGCCGGTGCTGCTCGCCCAGCCGCCAAACTCCTCATCGGCCGTGACCTTGGGAGCCGGGGCAAAGCCTCCACCGGATCCGGGGACAATGGGCGTGTTGGAAAAGGCGCCTCCCTCCCATCCAAGGCTGGGTGCTGAAGCCTTTGGCAGCGAAGGGCTCTTTTGAGCTATCGGCGCGGCCGTGGATGGCCCGCTGCTCCACTCGTTGCCACCCCAGACGTCAGCTCCCGATAGGTTGGCTCCACCCAGCGCGGTTGCAGCCGAGCTCGGTGCAGGCGCAGGGGCGGGAGCAGCGGGCTTGGTCTGGGGAGAGGAGAGGTTGAAAACAGAGCTCGATACCGGAGCACTCGGTTGCGCGGCTGGCGGAGAAGTCGGCTGGACAGTAGTGGCGGGTGCAGAGAAATCAAAGAGGTCGTCCATGGCAGAAGACGCCTTGGGAGCAGGGGCCGGAGCAGCAGCCATGGGCGATGAAAAGTCTCCGAATCCTCCAAATCCAGAGCTGGAGTTGGACAGCTTTGACTGGTGAGACGGCTGTGCAGGCTGTGCAGGCTTAGAGTTGAAGAAGTTGCCTCCGCTCAAACCGCCAAAGGCACTGCTGTTGTTGGACTGGGATGCTGCTGCCCTAGTGCCAAAGCTGGCAAAGGGGTCGACTGGTGCCGGCTTGGGAGCGGCGACGTTGCCCATGTTCAAGCTACCAAAGGCATCGTTGAAACCGCCCATCGAGCCGCCCATTGAGCCCTGAGAGTGGTGGCTAAAGGTTGGGGAGGCCGGGCCTCCAAATCCCTGCTGCTGGTACTGCTGTTGCGGAGGCTGTGGCTTGGGAACGGAAGCATATAATGATAAAATAGACTGCTTAAGATCTGGCCTTGACTGGGCTTGAGCGGAGCTCACTCCAGGGGTGCTTGCAGGCCGGGGCGGCGTGTTGGCTTCGCCGAGAAAGTCCAATCCAAGCAGAGAATCTTTGGTGCCAGTCGCCTTCGGAGGGGCGGGTTCAGCCTTGGGAGTGACCCTGCCAACGGGAGGTCCGCTAGTTGCCCGCACTGGTACAGGATCATCGCCGCCGATGAGGTCTCCCACGGGCGCAGGCAGGGGAGACCTTCGGGGTGCTTGAGACTGTCCGATCGAGGCCTTCCTGATCGACTCGTTCCTTTCGACAACCTGCTTCTCTTTGACGATACTCAACGGGACGTCATCATCTGCTGCAGCGTCCAATTCTGAGGGGTCTGGCATCGGTCCATCCATCGCCCATCTCTTCAGCTCGTATTTGGTGCGGATAAAGTTCTCGATCTTGGATTCGGAAGGCGTGTGGCCGGGTGCCAGCTTTGCTTCCCAGTACTTGTTTGCGCGCGCATTGCCCCAGTTCAGGACGCTCTGGAGCTGTTCGTCGGTCCATGAATCCAGGTCGACAGACTTGACTCTGCTAATGTGGGTTCCCATGCCACGGTGGATGCCAGAGCATCGGATGCAGATGAAGATGCCCAGGTTCCAGCTGGCCCATCGCGGATCTGGACATGGATTCATGCGTTAGTTTTTCGATTTGACGATATAGATCGGCACAGTCGACACTGAACATGGCAGATTGACATACGCTTGTTCTTCTTGCAGTCAGCGCAGACCTTGTTGGGCTCGAGCTTCAGGAGACTCTTGATGGTCGCCTGGTTCTGCGCCGCCCGCTCGGCGCCGGGATTGGGAGCTCGTCTCGACATGGCGGTTCGGATTATTTCGTAAAAAAGCAGATGAAATTTCTATAGACAAAGATCCAATTCGTCGAAGGGTTTTGAGGTATGTGGTGGTAAGAGCAGGAAAACGGTAGCCTAGAGCAACGTGTCGTGCGTGGCCACTTGGATATTTCCAAAGTTAGTTGCAACTTGACCGCACCCCACGAAGGCCGCCTCCTGTATCAGACATGGCCGGGAAGACTTCGGAAATCCGGGGCACTGGGTCGTGCGGCCTACCCTGGAGCTGTCACAGTTTGGCGGCTTTTGTGGCGCAACTCATTCTGCAATACAGGCTATTGTGGACGGGAGTTGTCTTGTGCTCAGCTGCTGCGTCATCGACGTGATATGGACATTAGCATGATAATTCAAATAAAGGAATCAGTATTCCTTTCATAGCGTATGAGCGAGACTGCACGAGATCATGGTGGAGCGATGTGGATAGCGCACATATCATCCAAAACATCATTGTAATCTTTGTTCGCTTTATGGTATAACACCTCGGCCTAGAACGTACATGAAACAGTCGTCAGGCAGCTGAGAATAAGGCTCGTGCCTCCTAATACCTCTTAAGCAAAAGGGGTCCAAAGCTCTAGCACTGTTTTCGAGATTCCAACGTTACGGGGCATCAAATGCGCTATTGCGGCCTAGCGCTGATGTTCCAGCACCTCGCAGAGCCCTAGAAGGCAGAATACAGTGTGTAGAAGCGGCGCTTGGCCTATACGACCCTCTTTTAGACTAAATATGTAGATGATGCAATTGACCAGATTCCATGCGGCTATACGGCGATTTGTCAAAACCCTCGTCCCAGCTGCTCAACGTCTTCCAAATACTACCTCACAGCCATCAAAAGTTCCCTTCCAACGATACATATAAGAAGACTCTCTGTCGCCTTTTCCTGTCTAAATCATCACCAACAACTTCCGCCTTCATGCGCTTTGTGCATACATTCTCACGATTCATCTTCACTCTATCCAACTTCACTCGCGTTAAGCCCCCGCATCGAATTCCACAGTGCGCACTACAGCCTCTTCGATTGCAGTCCATGTCAAGCATCCCCTTTTTGAGCGCCCTGTTCGGTTCTTCATCCAAACCATCATCCAACATGTCTTATCCCGACCAGCGAACTGACGATGAGTGGCGCGCCATTCTGAATCCCAGTATGTTTTCTGTCTATTTCTTTAGTCAAGCACTCATTTGCTAACAATAACCACAGCGCAATTCAGGATTCTCAGAGAAAAGGGAACTGAAGCCCCTGGCACTGGAGAGTTTGATAAGCACTACCCCAAGGAGGGCGCCTACACTTGCGCTGCATGCGACGCGCCGCTCTACAAGGCCACGCACAAGTTCAGCTCTGGCTGCGGCTGGCCGGCGTATTTCGACAGCATCCCCGGCGCCGTCACCCGGCACGAGGACCGAAGCTTCGGCACCGTCAGGACTGAGATTGTCTGCTCCAACTGCGGCGGTCACTTGGGTCACGTTTTCAAGGGAGAGGGATTCCCGACGCCCACGGATGAGCGCCATTGCGTGAACAGCATCAGCTTGAAGTTTTCACCGGAGGACAAGGTGGTGGAGAAGAGCAGCGATGAGACCAAGGCATAAATAACGAATGCTGGGGAGAGAGTTTGGAACGGTGTTAGAATGTACAATCTGTATTTAATAGCGAGTGGAATATGAATTTGGAAATACCCCTGTTTAACTTCAGTTACGTGTTGACGAAGACGTGCATGAATGTGTATGTGGTGTAGTATCTATATATGCACTTGGCAATCTAGATCTGAATCTGAGAATAGCACCAACCAGACGCCATACTAAGATCGGCCAGTGCTATGCTAGATGATGCATGATTACTTTGGCGGCCACTAATCCTCATTTTACCTTTTTCACAAGCAAAACCAGAGCTGGAGCCTGCAAATAACAGCTTCTCAAGCATGTGCCCGTAGAGTCGAGTCGATGCGGAGAGCACTGCCGCATTCAGCTAGACATAGATATGGAGCAGACTGTAAATGCGTCCTGCACCTGACTTTCCATTACTCGTGTCGTTATTACAAACTATCCGTGGCCAACAGCTGTCTGTTCCAACGAGGCAAAAGACCGGGCTGCTTATGATTATTGATCCCGCGCCTCGTGACGGAGCCCAGAGGCGCATCAGTTTAGAACCCCAAAAAGCTGGGGAAGCCTGTGCTGTCGGCATGTGAAAGCGCGCTAAGGAAAATGCGGGTAGTAGACCACGCCGTTAGTTTCGCCGCACGCTCAGAGATGCCTCGGCCGAGATGGAGGCTGACGCTGGCTACGTCGTTTTTGTGACATTTCTGGACTCTGACAAAACATCCGAGGTCTGCCGGGAGCTCAGCTGCTGCTTTGATTATATACGCCGCGGGCATCCGTTTTTCCTTTTCTCGAGTCTTTGATTATTTTCCCCTTTATACCCTTTTTCTTCCTTTACCACCTCCGTCTCTGCATATCCACCGGCTATCCCTTTCGTGTCGCATATTCTCACCTTGGTTTTTGTAATCTAGCTTCTACACATCTTCATCATGAGCGGTAAGTGATTGTTGTTGTACAACTATGCCCATCTTTTGTTTTAGCAGTTAGCTAACACGAGCCTCGTTTCAGCTGCTGCACGGATTTCTCAGATCGGAGGCCAGATCTCCGGCAATCCCACCGCTGGTGGCCGCGAGAAGCTGCTGGAAAAGCACCCCGACGATGTACGCTCTCTCCATCATCCACGTAGTCGAAATCCCACATACATAAAACCAAATACTCACATGGACATCGCAATAGATTGTCGTCACTGCCGCATGCCGTACTGCCTTCACCAAGGGCGGCAAGGGAGGCTTCAAGGACACGCCCGCAGGCGACCTCCTCGCTGGCATCCTGAAAGCCGTTCTCGAGCGCTCCAAGATCAACCCTGCCCTCGTTGAGGATATCGCCGTCGGCAATGTACTTGCTCCCGGCGCCGGCGCCACCGAGTTCCGCGCTGCCGCCTTTGTTGCCGGCTTCACGGAGGAAACCGCTGTCCGAGCGCTTAACCGACAGTGCTCGTCCGGTCTGCAGGCCGTTATCGATGTCGCCAACCAGATCAAGGCTGGTATGATTGACATTGGTATTGGTGCCGGTGCTGAGAGCATGAGCATGAACTACGGGTGAGTTTTTAGGAATTCTTTCGAAAATGTTGGCGAGGAGGGGGAAAAAAAAGCTAACGAGACGTGTCATCTTAGCCCTGCCGCCGTGTCCGAGCTCTCTGATGAATTCCAGCAGTGGGAGGAGGCCGTTAATTGCAAGGTCCCCATGGGCAAGCTCTCTGAGGATATGGCCAAAGATCTCAGCATCAGCCGAAAGGTCCAAGACGAGTTCGCCGCCAACTCTTACCAAAAGGCCGTCAAGGCCCAGAAGGCCGGCCTCTTCAACGATGAAATCGCCCCCATCAAGGCCAAGGTCCAGGACCCCAAGACTGAGGAGTGGAAGGAGGTTGTTGTCGACCGCGACGACGGCGTTCGCGACGGCATCACCGCCGAGTCGCTCGGCAAGATCCGCCCTGCTTTTGCAAAGGACGGCAGCATCCACGCCGGTAACGCCAGCCAGATTTCCGACGGTGCTGCCGCCGTGCTGATGATGCGCCGCTCAACCGCCGAGAAGCTCGGCCAGGAGATTATCGGCAAGTACGTCGCTGGAGCTGTTGTCGGCGTCAAGCCCCTGCTCATGGGCCAGGGCCCCTGGAAGGCTATCCCCAAGGCTCTTGAGAAGGCCGGCATCTCCAGGGATGATGTCGACATCTATGAGATCAACGAGGCCTTTGCTAGTCAGTGCCTGTGGTGCGCCGACCAGCTGGGCATCTCCCATGACAAGATCAACCCCAAGGGCGGTGCTATTGCCTTTGGTCACCCTCTGGGCGTCACTGGCGCGAGACAGGTTTCAACGCTGTTGTACGAACTGAAGAGGACGGGTAAGAAGATTGGTAACACTTCCATGTGCATTGGTACTGGTATGGGTATGAGTGCCGTCTGGGTTGCCGAGTAAAATAGACCAGCGGAGCATGGGAATGAATATGTATGAATAGAAAACGAGCTCTGTTTTTTTTTTGTTATTAGTTCTCGTACCTATATAGGGAGAACAATCTAATATAGAAACTATCGGATACCTGACGTTGACGGGACAATCTGTTCCCTTTATAACACCCTTCTAAATCACCGGTAAAGTATTTAATCAACTCTTTCCTGTGACATGCAAGAACAACCGATTTCGTGTGTTTATGCGACTTGCGAACCAAACCATTATGCTATCCATGCCATCGTCTTCTAAAAAAATATCCAGCGCTGTATCTGTTGCGGACCATATGTATGATTGCATACCCTCATATTTAAAAGCCTTCAATCTGCGTGCCAATATTCTTCTGCTTCGCAAGCTTAATTAATTCTTCTGCTGCCACTAGGTCCATCAATCCAACCCCGACACTTTTATAGACAACAGTGCCGTCCCGTAGCCAGCGCGAGAGGCCGTCGTCCTTTTGCTTCTCCTTGTCCTTTTCAGACAAGTTGTTGCTCGAAGATTTCCGAAAGTGCCTCCGGAAGGGCGATTTGCTGCGTGAAGACGTCGGACTCGAAGGGCTTGATGGCATGTCGCTGTAGACTGTATTCATGGAAGGGCTCCTGTCGGAGATGTCAAGTTCTGAGAAGGATGACGTTTGTGACATGACGTCGGAGGCTTCGGACTCTGACTCGTCGACGGCCATTCGGTGAAGCATGACAAGTTCGCCGAGTCTGGGGGGCAATGTTAGCTTACCATATCGATATGGATGCAGTTATGAGGGGTGTATGATATAGAAATACTTACTCGACCAATTGAGTGGGTGGGATCTTGGCGGCAATAATCTCGCCAGCTTCTGACAGAACTCCGTCCAGTGTGTCTACCACAATGACGCCCCCTTCATCAGCGTGTTTGTGGAAATGCCTATGGCCCTTTTCACGGGGCTTTGTGACCAGCTGCAGGAGGCCCTCAGGTAGCTCTCTCATCTCCGGCGTATAACTTCCCACGGCAACAATGAGCCTCCCCTTCTTTCTTCCCTCGTGATTCGTCAGAATCGAGGCATCAAAGAGATCTTCCCGAGACGGCGTGCAGCAGTAAATAATGTCGGCGTTGCGGATATACTCCTTCTGCAGGCGGTTGAACTCGTGGAACGTAGGCGTCAGAATCGTAAACTTGGCCGCCTCCCAGCCCTCCCGCGCCTTTACCTCAGGCAGGATGACGGCGAACTTCTTAAGAATGCGGCCGGCGCTGTCTGAGAAGCGGTGGTTGATGATATTGACGTGCTTGATGGTGCTGCCGCGCATCATGAGAGCCAGGCGGACGTGCCAGTAGGCCTGCATGCCGCTGCCAAAGACGGTAATGGTCTTGACGTGGTTGCGGCGGTAGACGAGGCATAGTGAGGCGAGGGCTGTGCGGAACGCAGTGAGCGTGCTGGCGTGGATGAGGCCAATTGGCCTTCCGTCTGGCGAGAAGAGGTTGACGACGCCTGTTGGGCTGATTTGCTGGACGGTAGGGTCTTTGGCTGCCTCGCCAGAAGTGAGAGATACCACTTATTGAATGTTAGTATATTTAGAGTCTTATGGATGAAGTGCAGGCCTACCTTTACAGCCCATGCCAGATGGACCGCATGATGGCATATACAGGGTCGTGGCCTGAGTCTCTGGATGCAGCGTCGTTAATCGATGCGGCTGCTGGAAGACGCCTAGGCCATCGGTTCCCAGACTGGTAGAGAAGGCATGGAGGGCACCGGCCAGGGTCTTTCGGAGAGCCTCCAGCTCGTCCAGGCTCAGATTTTCTAGGATATCCTTGACCTGTTCATCTGAGAGAACAGTCAAAGTCATGTTGGCAATGAGGCTATTACCAGTGATGGACTAGACTGAATTTTCAATTAGCTTAAGTACAACCTTTTTTTGAGGGTCCACAGAAAGAATTGATATGTACCTGGTTATCAAAAGCACAATGCTAAACTTAAAGAGAATAACTGGATATCAATGCTCTCTGGTATGTTATGGCAGAAGTGCTATGGCAAATAAGACGAGCGATATGATGTAACCGTTCCTCGGCACCGGTCCGGCGTTGAGGAGTTTGGTGGGGAATCGAGCCTGGACGGAGCTCAGTCTCAGTCCCAGTTATAACATAGCCTCAGATGCCTCTAGGCCGATTCCCCACAGACGTGCTGATAAGGAGGAGTCATGATCGTATTCGGGCTGGTCCCTTGGCGGAAGGCGAATTCGAAGTTCTGGGCTTCGGCTTGGCTTGGCGATTACCTACTCAAGGGTGCGGAGTCCAGATGCCGATTCATGGCAATGTCTTTAATGATTCTGCTAATCGACGATCCAATCCATCTAGATAAGGCTGGGGAAATAACGCTCAGGCACCGGATCAACGGGCCGCGCTCTCGACTAACTTAGTAATCAAGCAAAAAGAGGGAGAAACAAGGGAACAAATTGTGGCGAGAGGATTGTGTTGGGTCGAAGACTGTTCTGGAGACGGCACATGGCCGAGTCAAAGTTTAAAGGCACGTTTGCTTGCTGAGAGCGAATTAGCAGCGAAATTGACTCCGCCACAACGACTAGTATACAGTATTTGGACATAAGTGCACATAAAAAAACAACGATTGGACTGGACAGATTGTTTCGCCGCAGCCTCTTTGCCACGTATAGGCCCACGTCACAAAGGATGGCCGATATAAGTTGTATAGAGATGCCTAGAGGTGAAATGTGATGCCTGGTGGTTTGTGAGAGAAACAATGTGAAGGAAAAGGTGCATTTTATTGAAGCATTACATGGATATACCCGTAATGTATAAATAACAAGTGAAACGCTGTTCCGCATCTCATCTCCTTTGTTTGAAATCTCTAGCTCTACGACATAAAACAATACAATACAGCATCTGTCGCCGTCTCAACCCGCTGTTGTTTGGGGCACGGAGTACCTGCACCAGGTCGTCGGTACAAAACAGCGGGCGCAGCAGATTCGTTTCCCCCGCTAAGCCCTGCGTCTCGCCCCTAAGCAGCGCGTATTCTCTACCTGGCGCCTCTCGTACCCGCTGGAAACTCGTGCCTTGCGGCCGCTATACCGCAAGGGGCACTAAAATCTACCTGGCCAGAAGCAGCGCTCGTCACCCTCGTCTCTTGGACAACGTTCCTGACATTCCACTTCCCTCCTTTGCCATCGACAAACCCGCAATCCGCCAAACCGACTCGGAGAATTTCTCGACTCAGGCTGCATAGCACGCGATTTTGACATTTGACTCGCCGTCTCTCTCAATCGACTTCTCGCTTTGCAAGGCCGCTGCGCGCATTCGGCGACTACGAGTACTACAGTGTTCTGAATAGCTGCCGGACAGCTTCACCCAAAGACCGCCAGAATGACGCTCAAAGAAGAGTTCCAGACCCGGAACTTCAGTACGTGGCCTATGCGAATAGTGCTGAGTTGAATCGCGTTGATGCTGACTACATCCCGACAGGTATTTACGGACAATGGTAAGCCGCTGATGCGCCAACCGCTCTTTGCTCTTGGCTCTTCGCATACGATTATAGCGGGTGAGGCTGGTGTCCGAACCAGACTCGCGGTTTCGATGCGCGACGTCGATATGCAGCTAGAGCTTTGCCTTCTACTTTAAGAAAAGATATGCTTTCTAACATAATGCCAACTCTCATAGGTTCGGCATTCTTTCCATGATTCTCTGTTTCGCAACAGGGCTGGCCAACATCTTTACGCTGTTTTCGAAGCATGCACTCCTGATCATATTCTGCGCCCTTGCGCTGTAAGTAGCCTGCGCTTTCTGAGATAAACTGCCTGCTAATTAGACCACAAGGGCCTCATCTCTCATCATCTTGTTCATCGAAGTGCCTCTTCTTCTTAGAATCTGCCCGACATCCTCCAAATTCGACGAACTCATCCGCAAGGTTTCCTCCAACTATATTCGAGCAGGTACCTACGGCGTCATGGCCCTAGTCCAATTCCTCAGCATCATCGTTGTGAGCTCGAGTTTGATCGCAGCAGCCGTTTTCTTGCTGCTCACCGCCATCTGCTATGGCCTTGCTGGACTCAAAGGCCAGGCATTCATCGGAAGCAAGACCCTTGGTGGCGCAGGTATTGCACAGATGATTGTGTAAAGGACCCTGTTCAAAGGCCCTTTTGTAATGGACCTTGTGATCTGGTGTTCACCGTGGAGCAAGAGAGAAAAAGTGGACGAGGAGAGTGGTGGAGACAAAGACTTTTGACGATACGTTTTACTGCATGAAACGACGTATGATTTGAATGAGCCGGGTGGAGTGATGAGACTGGGGACTTGGACAAAAAAATTTTGCGGGCAAGGCAAAAGAGTTGAATTTTTCTAGCCTGTATTTCTTCTGACTGCTTGCCTGGGGGTGTTTGTGGGCCTTTTTATCCAAAGGGTATTCCGGCGTCAGGAATGAAGCATGACCTATACGGGTTGATTTCAATAACTGCTTCGGTGCGTTTCTCATAGGGCCATGTTTAGTGGAATAGAGTTTCAAATGATGTTTGTTCTTGATTTTTCTTATTCAATGTTTTCCAGCTTGAGGTGTTTAGATGATCAAAGCCGGTTTGTGGTCTTTTGAGTCGAGCACAGCAATAGGCGTCCTCGGATGGCCAATCCTCTGTGGCTGTTGCAATGATGAAGCTTTTGATATGCTGTATTCGAGGCCCCAAAAGAGGATTTACGGATGCAAGGTACCAGCACTAAATGGTGAAATTATCTTGTTTCAATGCACCTAGTTTACAAGCACCAATAGTCAGGGAACAATTCAAATGGCTAGAGGTTGGGTAAGTATTACACATCAATCCTTACTCAGCATCAGAAAACTACACAAAACACTTGATTGAATAGGCGAGGGCATTCCAGATTTGTTGTATTCTTTGCCTATTGAAGTTTGGCGCATCTTGATTGTATCACTCATCGAAACATTTGCGAATTGTGGGCGTCTATACGCTTGTGGCGTCTGACAGCTCCTACGCCGAATGATGTACAAATGGGCATACCGGCAAATGATTTCTGCTTGTCCAGCGTGGCAACCAAATAAAGAACAAGGAAAGCGACAGGTTTAGCAGTGTCCAACGTGTTTCGAAATATAGGCAGGTAAATATTATGCGATGCCATGACCAATGTCAATGCTCGTGGGATGTGACGACACCATATAGGCAGGGGTTGAAATTCGTACAGACGCTTCAACCATTCAAGACAAAGTCCATACAGCAGACTGGCAGCCGAGTCTGCAGATCTCGAAGCACTGTTGGGGGTCCCTGCAGGTCGAATCACTTGCAGCTAATAGGTGGTAACTTCTTCAACTAAATCAGGCATGCAGATTCGAGCTACCAACAATGTACACGCACAAATGCTCTGGCCAATGAAGAGTGGCCCAAAGAGGTGTGTCTGTCAATTTGGGGTGCTTGGCGGCATTACTGGCGGTGAGCGGCCGAGTGAGAAAAATTCTCATGCGACATGCATACAAGTACAAAGCTTTGTATTTTAACTCGCAACATGCTGCCGGTTTTTTTTAGTCGCGTTAGTTTTACAGGTCAGCCGATTGGATTTATCCAGCTTTGAAGTAATTTGGTGATCTCGGTGGTGGGGGATCTGCTGAGCTACTAAGACGCAGTGACGCAATCAAGCTTGGATGAGGATGACGATGAAGACATTTCTTCGTCAGAGAGTCAACCGTCCCGAGATTTGCTTTGTTTTCAAGACGATGAGAAATCAATCAATCAATCAATTCACGCGTCTGTGTATACCGCCAGCTACAAACTTTGCGTCCGTCAGCGCTCTGTAGAGCCTACAGACAGGTACATAGAGGACATCAATGGATTGATCAATCGATGCCGTGTAGCGTGTGTGGCGTAGAGGGGTCACCAGGTTACGGTGCGGCTGACGGGCCATTTGCACTGTATCTTCAGCGTCGCATTGGGCGGGGCGGCCACCGTTTCAGCGGCAGCCACACAGTATTTGATAGACGCCCCGCGACCCCATGAGGCGCTATTGCTGGCCAGAATTAGCGCACAGGCCTCCAGCCGTCTCCCAATAGCGGCGTTGGCATAGATAAGCTACGAGGACCTGTCGGTATTGTTGAGGGACACTTGCAGCTCTGGAAAGCCTCTTCAACCCCGACCATCTGCTGTTTGTGCTGTTTGTGCTGCTAGAATCCGATTCATGCTTCTATACTTATAGTTCTTTGGAGGTATTCCGTACCGAGTCGAGAAGCAATCGCAATTGGTAAGTCGGATCTCTGCCCATGCCATGATGCTGCGAGGGACAGATGGCCATCGTCGTCATACAGTACGACTGGCTTGAGAATGGCCACCAGCTTCCCCTGACTCCTCTGCTGCCCGTTTTGCCGTGCAATCAATTCCCATCTTGTGAAGAGCTATTTATTGCCATAATCCCAAGACCGGCTGCTGTGATCAATGGGCTCGTTGGGTTTCACACGCTGGTTTTGGGCACCCCTTTCGTGTTGCAGCCTTAGTCCTGTGACATCCCACTTTCCACTGCCGAGTTAAACACCACAACTGACGTTTCGTGCCAGATCCGTTTCGAGATTCGATTCTATACAATTACTACGACAATTCATACACTGTTTATCTTTTCCGACTTTGTTACGCTTCCATACATACTACTTTAAATGATTTATATACTATGACGGCACCGACAATGCAGCAGCCGATCATCCCCCCTCGTCCGTCCAAGAGCCCGGCCAAAGACCTCGCGGCCGCCAGTTCTACTCCCCTGATTCCGCCGCGACCGGTTAATAAACGAATCGATCGCTCAAAGTCCCCCAACCCCGATCGATTCGCCCAATCGCCTTTCACCGATGGCGCAATTGTGAGCCCTCTTGGGTCCAAGCTCAGCCCCAGCTTCTCCCCTGGGAACTCTGGCGATGCCAATGATCACGCTGAGAGTGTGCCGATGCCCTCTGTTGGAGAAGAGGGGCTGGAATACAGCGTCATCACTTCTGAGCTGCAAGGTCAGGGCACCGAGGATGCAGAGCAGACTCGCACTGTCGCCCAGGACCTCAAGCTTCACGCCCCTAAGCCGTCTCTCCCGGCAGCGAGCGCGAAAGAGCGGGTTATGAACGTCACTCGCACCGACTCGGACAGGGCCGCCTCATTTGGCATCGGAAAGCCAGGGTATCTTGAAGGCCGCTCAACCTCTCGCAACGGCCTGAAGAAGAAATCCAGCACGACTCTCTCTGTTACCAGCGAGACAGACCAGCAGCTTGATGATGAGCATGGCATTCCCGAGATTGGGCAGCGAGTGCCCATGAATCCGCACCTGGGAGATGTCCAAGCGCCGTCGCCTGCTCCGACTGATGGAAGCGGCAAACACCATAACCGCAAGCTTAGTTCGCGTGGTTTGCCCCCGGGAAGCTATGGAATGCACGGCCACGGGGTTGAGCCTCAAGATGAGCTTGACAAGGCTTATTATAAGAAGCATCCTGAAGTGATGCAGCGAGAGCATCACACCCCGCTGCACGATCATCGCCAGACCGATTTTGCTCTGAGCAGCAGCGATCTCAACAAGCTAGTCCGAGATACGGCCAACCGTAAATCTATAGGTTCGTAGATTTACATTTGACTCTAACGACTAGGAAAAGTGTGGGCTAACCTTACTTGGTACAGACTTCAGTGAACAACATGGAACCCCCAACGAAGAAGTTGCATTTCAAGCCCACGAGGAATATGCCAGCCGCATGGCTACCCCGCGTCCAGCTTCGATAGTTCTGGATACAGGTGCACCATTGGAGGATCCCGGTACACCTGAGAATAAGCCTATTCATGTTGACGACCCTAAGCATCCCGAACAGTACTCCTATGGCGCTGAAAGCCCAGTTGAGGCCCGCGGGGATGAGTCTGAGGCGCCGATTCTGGCTGCCGATGAGATTGAGAAGGATGCTAGGCGCCCTGCTCAGCAGCCAGCCATTCGACCTCACCTCGACCGCAACGGTAGTTCGTATGATGGCACGAGTCGTCCTACAAGCCGTCCTACAAGTCGCCCTAGCAGTCGGCCGACGAGTATTTACAACGCCCATAGTCTCGACTTTGACCACACTCCTTTGGAAGATGTTCGCGAATACGAGCCTTTGTTCCCCGATGAAGCCGCCAAGAAGGAGGACGAAAGGCGTGAAAGCAAAGACGGATCAAAAGCACGTCACTATTTCCCCAGCAAAGATGTTTGGGAAGATGCGCCGACCAGCGTTCACTACACCGCGGAGGTCTCAACTCCTGATAATGCAGATGAAAATGCAGAGGAAGACGCCCAACGAAGGAAGTCGTCAACGCATCCTGAGAATCGCCCTATGACCCCGGCTCAAATATTTGCCATGCAACAAGAAGAGCTCGCCGAAAAGGAAGCAAGCGGCAAGAAGCACAACTTCCTACCCATCTTGGAGCAGCCGAAGCCTACTTGGGTCGACCACCAACCCCATCTGAAGCGTGGCAAGTCAAGTACAAGTAATCGATTCCCCAGTAAAGATGTGTGGGAAGATACTCCAGAGAGTCTTCTTTATGAGGCAGAGGTAGAGGAAAAGCCAAAGACCGAGAACAAGCCTGAAGTACCCGCCCGACCTTCCAAGAAACTATCGGAACTGCTTTCACACAAGCCTGCCGTTCCTGATCGCCCAAAGGCCACTAGACAGCCCAGCGGTGAAGATGCGCCCAAGCCGGTGATACCTACTCGACCTGTCAAAAAGGTTTCGGCTGACTCAAAGGACGGAGAGCTTTCCAAACCGAAGCCCCCAGTCCCCTCTCGCCCTGCTGGGGGTAAGATTGCCGCTCTGCAGGCTGGATTTATGAGCGATTTGAATAAGCGTCTGCAGCTTGGACCGCAGCCTTCGAAGAAGGAAGAGACTGAAAAGAATGAGGTTGTAGATGAGAAGGATAAAGTCCTACTGTCTGATGCTAGAAAAAGTCGGGCTAGAGGACCACAGCGTCGCGCACCGACCAAGAGCTCGGCCCCAGCTCCTGCTCCGACATCAACGAAGGAGTCTGCTCCTATCACGCTATCCTTCTCTCAGCCGCAGACGGTTTGGAACATTGACCCTGATCATGGCGACGTTCATGTTGCTTCTGACTCACTTGAGGTCCCCGAAAAGGACGTTTCTGAAACCGGACTAGAATCAGAGAAACTGCCTTCCCCACCGATAGAGGATGAGAAGCCTGCCAAAATAGAAAAGCCTAGAGCAGAAGAGGAGAAAGAGGCGGAACCTGTCGCAAAGGTGGTAGAACCTGAAGCCCCCAAGGAACTTGTTGAGCCCGCTGCTTCAACTGAGCCCGCACAATCTGAGATTGTGCTAGAGCCCAAATCTTTGACTGAATCTGAAGAAGCAAAGGTCCTTGAGAGTGCTAAAGAACCCGAAATAACAAAGGGGCCTGAGGAAATCAAAGAGCCAAGCGAGCCCGAAAAATTGGAAGAAGTCAAGAAACCAGAAGAGCCAGTGAAGACAGAAACACTTGCGGCAAACATGGCTGGCGAAAGCATTTTGGAGGCCAAAGTGGAACAGAACGATGATACAAAGGAGATAGAACCTGTTGAAGTGACAGACGAGGTGAAGGCTTAGAGTGGGTGTACTCGACGTGCCGAGGATGTTTTTGTCCCGTGCACACATCTACCGATGAGATTGGCTCCTTCAATTTTGCTATCTGCATTTTAGCTACAACAGAGTCTTGAGACATCAAACTCATGACACTAATATGAAGCTTTATTCCACTCCTTTAACATCACCAATAGGAACTTCTTTTCCATTGAGAAAAATAAACATGTTTACAACTTTTGAGTGAGTTGTGTACTCTTTCAATGAGCGCACACACATGAATACATATAATACATAAGATAAGCTAGCTTGTAAAAGTCAGAGCTATTTTCTGCTCCACGAGCTCCTCTCCTGACTCTGGCCCTCACGCTCGCTCTCTAGTAACCGGTCAAACTCTCGCTGGGCCTGCCCTTTAGCCAAGTTTTTTTCCTCGTCAGCGCTCGAGAATGAAAAGCTCTCTCTTGGTGCTGACCCTTTGTACTGCGCGCCTGATTCAGCCTCTGATCCCCATCCGCCTCCTGACTGAGGCTTCTCCCACGTCTTCCGATCTTGCTGGGCAGAGGGTTGGTAATGAGCTTGTTGTCGGATGCGGTCCCACGCTGAGCCGCTGGAATTGTTTGAGGCGTCTGAGCTATTTCTTGCTGCGGGTGCGACGGGCGAGGCGTCATCAAAATCGTCTGTAAATGAAGAATCCCATGCATCAGATTGCTGCTGTTGCTGTTGGGGCTGTGGGGTCGGTGTCGTGGGGCTGCGGTATGACGTCCAAGAGGATTGCGTTGGTGCAGCTGTAGGCTTTTGTTCGGACTCGGGATCTCTATATTGTTGATTCGCATTCTCGTACTGCGCTGCCGATTCCCATGCATCGTTAATTTGCTCGCGGGCTTCCGGGTTGCCTCCTAGCAGCGTAGCGCCTTGGGCCCCTCCATCGTGTAAGAGCGCTCGCAACCTAGGATCCGCCTCCATCTCTCGACGCTGCCGCATGAAGTTTGCGCCCTGGAAGACTGGCTCGCCAAGAACCCAGAGCGTTCCGTAGTAGGCGGCGAAGCGGGCGCTGTGCCACATGAACTTGAGGCCCGGGCTGCCGCCGATGGGGCTGAAGCGCTTGAATTCCGGGTTGAAGAAGGGGAAGCGCCACGTCTTGCGGCCGCGGTAGGCCATGTAGCCCGCGAAGCCGGTCATTGCCCATTTCCACGCGAGAAGGTTGTGCACGCTCGATAGGAAGTGCTCCGTGAGGGCCTGCGTCTCTTGGTCCTCAAAGGCGCGGTTGTTGACGGCGGCCAGGGACAGGACGGTGGATTCGGCTAGGGCGAGGGTCTGGGCCTTGCCGAAGCCGCGGAGCTGCGCGTAGAAGGGCGCCTCGTAGTTTTGGAACAGACGCTGGATCTGCTCGTGGATCTGGGGCTCGAATCGCTTGCGGTTCGTCATGGCCAGTTGGCGGCGCTCTTCGATGGCGGCTCGGGCCTTTTGCATGTATTCCGACCGGCTCATGTGCTTGTAATCGGGGTTCTTGTTGGCGCCGTCGCCGCCGTTACCGGCACTGTTGCCTGAATTGTCCATATTTACTTAGCAATGCGTCGCCAAAGAAAATAGGAATTCAATGTTTCGTTCAAACAGATGACCCCGCGATATCTCTCGGCATCGTGTCATGTTGAAGACCCATTGAAGCAACTGTGACGCAAGAGGTGCCAGAGCAGCTTTATCGATAAGTTGCCGCTTCACGTGACTGCTGTCATTAAAGCTGTCCTTGCCGAGTTTTTGTTACGGTTGTTGGAGCAATTGGGCGGGGCGCGTCGCGTTTTAGAGGCGCGTTCTAAACGATCTGCCCTTGTATTGAAGTTAAATCGCCTGGGACGATAGATTGGCATTTTTGCTTATCGCATATGCCACAACGGTGCAGTGCTGGGGAGATTTCGATGTAAGGCTCCAAGCACAATCATCTCCAATCATGCCGCTCCAGAAGTCCTATTCTGAGCGGATTGGGCTTTCAAGAGTATGTTTACTTTCCTCAGGCTGGTTTGTTTTGTTTTGTTTTGTTATGACGATGTCACTTACATGCGCGATGTAGCAACGCTCGCCCTGGCAGCGGTCTCACAGCACTCCCAACAATTTACAGCCAGCGAACTCGAAGAACTTGATTCCCATATCGGAAGTTACGAAGAAGAAGCTGAACAAGTTTCTGTATAATGACTCTGAAGATGGGTCTGCGGCAGACAAAGGCGTAGATGGGAGGGGTAAGGGTGCAGCAATAGCTGGTTTGAGCGAACAAACGCCCTCGCATCTAAGGATGATTGGAAACAATGCGACGCCGGTGACTCGGCTGGATTGGAGCGACCTCCTCGAGCCGTGCAGTCAAATACTAGAGGAAGATGCCACCTCGCCGAACGACAAGCTGCTGTGGAACAACAAGCAGGATCCGAATGCATTCGCCACCATCTCGCCGATGATGCCCCGCAAAGGAAGGAAACGAGCCAGGAGCTCTTCGCCGATCTCTTCTCCCTCTGCCGACAGAATCGCCACCCCGACCGTCAATGTCAAGAAATTGGCCAGAGCATTGAAATCGCCTCACCCCGATCCGACGTTGGAGCTCTGGGATCGATACTCGCTGAATGGACATCCGGGACAGTCTCCCGTGTCTGGTGCGGCGAATCCGATTTTGGCCCAGTTGATGGTCTCTTCGTCTCCACGGCCATCCAAGAATCAAGCTGCGCAGGTCGACCAGGAGGATTTGCGCCGAGCCGCCAGCTGTGGTTTTCAGTGGCCTAAGAGGAGGAGGATGGAAAAGTCAAAATCGGGCAGCCAGGTCAGCGCCAGCCAACGGGAATTGGAGGCTGCGTCCAAGTCCTCTCTTGTCACAGCGTTGCTGGATTCGGTTACGAGTAGTATGCAAAATCAGAGCCAGGACGACGATACCGAGGCAGCAGGGATGGACTCACCGTCTCTAAAGAAGAGGCAGATTGCGCCCCAGAACAGCAATTCCCCGTCGAGAAAGTCAAAGGGCCGGATGCCTAGTCCGATTGTTTCGGACTACGGTGATGATGATGACTTGGATGATGAGTTTTTGATGTTAGAAGAAACCATGCTGGCAACCCAAGCAACTCAGGCAACTCAGGCAACTCAGGCATCTCAGGCATCTCAGACATCTCAGACAACGGAAACTGTAGCACCAGCCAGGCAAAGCACAGAAAGAACAGTCAAAGAAGAGGACGAAAATAAGAACAAGAAACCTGTCCTGAACGAGTTTGATGATTTTGACGACGACGACTTCGACGATGCAGACGACTTGCTGGCAAATTTAGAACTGAAAACCCCAGCAACAGGGAAAAGGATGTCTTCAAAGATGATGAAAACACCGCTCAAGAATAAAGCTCCGCGGAAGCTAGCTGACCTGGAAGATGAATTCGGCGACGATGCCTTTGATGGAGATGTCGACTTTGAAGCGGTAGAATTTGCTGCAACCCAAGCGGCCCAGCAGCAAGACACTGCCTCAAGAGCTGTATGTGAGGACGCTATCCAGGAAGAAAACATGCTAAACGTAGGCCAGAACAAGAAAATCAAGACTATTCAGCGATATTTAGTAACAAGTGTTTTAGACGGCGAATACGTCGATCAGTACAACCGCGTCTCCCCCGAAAAGGTACGTGGAGCCAATGCAGTTTATCCTTTAGAGTACGTTATGTTGACTCATGCTAGATCCTCTTGATTCAAGCAGATGGCTCAAAGACTACCCGAACTGTACAGCTACGAGGCTCTTGGTACGACACACCGGCGCACGCTGATGCCTACGTCCATGTCATTGGAGACTTTTCATTCAAGGGGCAGTGTATTGTGGATGATGCGCAGAATCTCTTGATTTTGCATCCTGATCAGCTGGTATCCGCAACAGTGGTTGCAGATTCTTTTGGCTGCACGCGTCGAGCTGTGCTCCAAGATCGAGTCAAGGCTACCAGCGAAGCTTCACCTCCGTTGGTCTACGGCACGATGCTCCACGAAATCTTTCAGGATGCATTGCTTGCCAACAGGTTTGATCTCGGATACCTCTCAGAGTTGATTGATAAAAACATTGAGAAACATATTGAGGATTTGTACACGATTAAAATGGGTATTGCGGATGCCAAAGAGCATCTCCAGTCCAAAATGACCGAACTTAGCTATTGGGCTAAGAGCTTCGTGTCATCGCAACCACAGGTAAAATGAAGTGCTGCGACCTATCTCATTGATACAGAGACTGACACTCGTCTAGGCCGACGCTATTGTAGAGGGGAGAAATGGAGACAAAGCTACTATCGCTGTCAGAAAGCTGCTTGACGTGGAAGAGCACGTTTGGTCGCCTATGTATGGGTTGAAGGGAAATATTGATGCAACGGTTGAAATCATGATGGCAGATGGCAAGCAGAGCCAAGTATTGACTGTGCCATTTGAGGTCAAGACGGGCAAACATGCCAATAGCAACCACATGGCGCAGACAGCTCTTTATACCCTGTTATTATCGGATCGTTACGACATTGATATCACTCACGGCATTCTATACTACATGGAGACGTCTAAAACGATGCGAATACCCGCTATTCGACATGAGCTCCGGCATATGATAATGCAGCGAAACCAGCTGGCATGTTACATCCGAGAACGGAGCGTTCAGCTTCCTCCAATGTTGAAGAGCAAACATATGTGTGGAAAATGCTATGCTAAAACCTCTTGTTTCATCTATCATCGGTTAGCAGATGGAGGAGACGGGGAAAGTAGCGGCATGGGTGAAAAGTTTACTGAGGTTATCAAACATCTGACACAAGAACACCAAGAATTCTTCATCAAGTGGGAAAACTTGTTGACAAAGGAAGAGAAGGAGGGGCAGAAGACCAAGAGAGAGCTGTGGACGATGACAAGCTCTGAGCGCGAGAAGAAGTCTCGATGTTTTTCGGACGTCATCATTGAAGAGGGATCTGCATCGGTTGATGAAGACAATCCTCGGATTAATCGATTTCACTACACTTTTATCAAGCGAGAACCGATGCCCGACTTCACTTTTATTGGATCAGAGTTGACGGTTGGTGAGCCAATTGTTGTGTCAGATGAAGATGGACATTATGCTTTGGCGATTGGATACGTTACTTCTGTTCGAAAGCAAAGGATCAGCGTCGCCGTGGACCGACGTCTACACAATGCTCGAATTCGACAGCCCGGATTTGATGAAGAGAATAACCAAGTTTTTGCTAGCATTATGGAAGTTGCACCCGAAGGGGCGTCGGTTGAACAGAGTCAAGGGAAAATCAAAGAGCCACCTATTCGATACCGCCTGGATCAAGATGAGTTTAGCAATGGCATGGCCACTGTAAGAAACAACTTGATCCAGATGATGGCAAATGACGTGCCAGCTGCTGTGCGAATTCGGGAGCTCATTGTCGATTTGGAGCCTCCTAGGTTTAAACCAGTGGCGACCCAATACACTGTCACTGATGGGGAGAATTTGAATGTTGATCAACAGCGGGCTATCGAGAAGGTCATGAGTGCGCAAGATTATGCGCTGGTACTGGGAATGCCTGGTACCGGTAAGACGACCACCATTGCCCACATCATCAAGGCTCTGGTGTCACAGAACAAAACGGTGCTGTTGACGTCTCATACGCACACGGCCGTTGACAACATTCTTCTGAAGCTGAAGTCGGACAAAATCCCTATTCTACGACTTGGTGCTCCGGCAAAGGTCCACCCCGAGGTTCAGGATTTTGTTCACCTCGCAGGCCACCCAAAGAAGACTTTTGAGGAAATAAAGGAGGCTTGGCATGGCACCCCGATTGTTGCCACGACCTGCTTGGGAATTAACCACCAAGTCTTCATAGAGCGTTCATTCGACTATTGCATTGTGGATGAAGCCTCACAGATTACCTTGCCCATTTGTGCGGGCCCCATTCGACTGGCAAAGACGTTTGTTCTTGTCGGAGACCACAATCAGCTTCCACCGGTGGTGAAGAATGAAGAGGCTAGACAAGGTGGCTTGGATGTCAGCCTGTTCAAGCTCTTATCGGACACCCACCCGCAATCTGTCGTTAACCTAGAGCATCAGTATCGTATGTGTGAAGACATTATGACTCTGAGCAACACCCTCATCTACAATGGCAGACTTCGATGTGGAACGGAAGAGCTGCGCAAGAAAAAGCTTCACATTCCTAGCATGGAGGCTCTGCGACAACATCATCACGACTCAACAACTATTCAGCGATCTGGAACCGCTCGCTCATTCTGCACTGGACCCGTGCCGTCGCGATGCTGGCTTTATGACCTCCTTGACGCTGAAACTCGTGTTCGGTTCGTTGACATGGACACGATCCGGCCCCAGGTTCGTGAAGAGGCTCAAGGAAAACGTATCATCAATCCTGCCGAGGGGCAAATTGTCTCACAGCTTGTTGAAAGCCTGCTCACTGTGGGAGTTCCAGCTACTGAAATTGGTGTAATGACACATTACCGTGCACAGCTTCATCTTCTCAAAGATAAACTCAAGTACTTTCCTGGCATAGAAATGCATACCACCGATCGTTTCCAGGGACGGGACAAAGAAGTCATTGTACTGAGTCTGGTGCGAAACAACGAGGCCTGCAATATCGGAGACTTGCTCAAAGATTGGCGGCGTATTAATGTGGCATTTACTCGTGCAAAGACCAAGCTCCTAGTCGTGGGCAGCATGAGCACCCTCAAGGGAAATGGAGAGGAGACCATGCTTAGCAAGTTTATTTCTCTGATGGAAGATCGCAATTGGATATATCATATGCCGCAGAATGCTCTTGAGAGCCATTGTTTTGCGGATTTGAGTACGCAGCTCACTGGTTTTACACAGCGAACGCCTAGAAAGTCTCCAAAGAGGGTGCCGACAAAGGCAAGTGCTACTTCATACGCGGACAAAGAGAACCGGAAACCGTCTCCGAGAAGGGCGCGGGTGGGAGAAGGGATGTTGCTTAAAGGGAAGCTAATCACGCGAGATATTTTGAATGAAATGACGGATGGCGCATATGGAAATTAAAGATGATTGTTTGGCATATGTTTTTGTTTTCATAGGGTGGGAGGATGGACCGGTTGTGGAATTTGATGTTGACAGGCGCAATTATGGATTATCAGGATACTGTAAATATAGGATAAAGAGACATGATATTCAGGATATAATTTAATTTTTTCTTGGAAAGTATACCATGAGCTGGCATTAAATTGTTTAGTGTCGTTCGGCAACGCTGGTTTCATCTTCATTTTCATGATGGTCGTGCTCTTCGTCATCTTCATCTTCGTCCTCATCGTCATCGTCCTCATATGGCTCTAGTATTGTCCATTCATTATCAAACCTACAAGCATTTAGTTAGTAATACGCATGGGAATCAAAATGAGACGGGGGAGAATTACCCTTGTTCGCCCACAATAAGCTTGGTAAACTTTTCCAATTCTTCTAGCTGCGCGACACACCCAGTGAGACTCTCGTTGTACGAGTAGCTGTATATGTCAATCCATTTCTTGTGCCATCTGACGTCGTTTACTTCGCTGTGATTCGCCATGGAGTCTTCCACGGCTGCTGTTTCTACGAGGAGCCTGCGACGGGCTGCGGCGGCGCTGGGGAGGTAGCGCTATTGACACAAGATTAGTATTGGAATTAAGCAATGTGAAAGGTGCGGTACGTACGGGTACTTTGCGGTCTGCTCTTAACGCGCCGGCGAAGACATATAAATTGGCGAGAATCGATGCCACAGCGTCTCGCCTGAAGCCTAATAGGCGCTGAGCTGCGACTGGATCGTCGCGGATGTAGTCTGGATTGTAGAATACGGCGGATTGTCGGACGGCGATGAGATAATCGAAGAAGCGTTCGCAGGAATCAGCGAGGCCGGAATAGGGGAGGGGGTTGAAGGGGCCGCGGAGGCGAACTTCGTGGCGTGTCATGACCTAGTTGAACTGTTATTACTCTGTGAAATATATATGACAGGGCAAGGTGAATGCGTACGAGAAGTTGTCTGATCCTGACGAAGCCTTCTCTGATGCGTCCTTCGAGGATTTCGGATTGGACGATGTCTTCGGGGGTGGGCTCTTTGCCTTCTTCGAAATAAATGTATTTTGCAACAACGTCTGTCACATATTAGGCAAAATGATGGATAAGGAATATTGGCTGCTTAAGGGATGGCTTACTTCGGTATACGATGCTTAGAAAGAAGAGCATTGAAGATAATGATTTCCTCAGCTCATGCCTCGCGACAAAGGGCCACAGGCACCAGTTGACCACGATGGGCGCAGTTGTGCCAATGAGGAATATGACGCCCCTTAGTGTGGTGGTTCGAGCTGGTGATGATGGTAGCCCACCGGCTTGGAGTTGCAGCGAAATGACCGTAAAGGATAAACATCCCGCGAGGCCAGATCTCTAGAAACGGCGTTAGCTTTAAGTCGTAATCTTAGACAGCTGCTATTTGGTATCTTACCGGATGGCAGCTAAGAGTAAATCGATATAACATAGGGATCATGAAAATAGCTGCAAAAACTGCAACGACGTAGGGGCTGCCGTCTCCAGCGGCATGTGCAGCGCCACCCCATACGGCGCCGAGAATGACTAGAACGGCTCTCGTGAATAGATCTTGAATGTTGCCGCCTACGCGAGCATGGATTAAGAGCCAGCTCATGGTGACTGCCCACCAAGCTTCGTAGTCGTCCCACCAGACCTTGTCCCAGCTGAGATATGAGGGAACTGCGAGAAGAGACGTGACGAGAACGACTTTGAAGGCATATCGGCTTTCATAGCCTTGCAAGAGATGCAAGATCTTCCAGATTCTGTAGCTGAGCTTGTTCTTCTTTGTGTCCATGTCAGGCGGGGGGCCTGGATCTGTCAAATGGGACAACTCGGCTCTTAGCTCAGTTTCGGAGACGCCATCGTCATACTTTTCCAAGGGTTTGTATTCTCGGCACTTTATCGATTCTAAAGCACGAGCGATTTCGAGGAATGTTATGTGGTATGAGCCAGCTGTGGCGCCTCCGCGGTCGTGAGTGACTTGAGGGTTGACGAAGTGGATGGCTTTGCGAAGCGGATAGGATGGTGGGTGGATTTTGGGCCAGTTTGAGGCTTGACGCATGGAACACACTTTTCCCATGAGGTTTTCAATTGTGGTGGCTGTTTCGCGGAGATGGCGTGCGAAGATGAAGAGTTGGACTACGGCTGAATCGTCCATTGATGCAGGGGGGAGTTGGCCTGATTCCAGCAGCTCTGATTCCACGGCGTCGAAGATTGTTTTTGCGGCTTTCATTCGGATTTGCGCGGGTGCGATTTCGGATGATACGTCTTTCGGAGGACCGAGATATTGTCGGTAGCCTGAGAGGTCCATCAGTGCTGCCTGGCTCGCCTGTAGGCCTTGGTTCATGCAGGCGAGTATCTCTTTGGTTGGCTTTGCCAACTTCTTAATCACGATGCGGGTTACATCAACCTCGTTTATCACACCGGGGGGCTTTTCGCTGGTGATATTGTTGACATTGTTGCTGCTAGAGGATGAGGAGGACATCTGAGTGGCCTCGGCGACTATTGGAACATGTCCGTCGTCGGCTTCGCTGAAAAGTGCGCTCTCTGTTTGCATGGCGAGTAAGGCGCGAATGACTGCTTGCATGAGATTTCGCAATTCTCTTACGTCGGCTGGCTTGAAGCGTGTTATGGTGAGAGTGGATCGCATGTCTTTATATGTGGCGGATAAGTCTACGAAAGCTCGAACTAGGCGCCGTCTAAGCCTAGTATTTCGTGGGCATGGAATGGCTATAGCTTCCTGAATGAAATACAGGGGTCAGAAGATGATATGGAGTAGATTTGGCATTGATATATGTGTGTGATGTGTACAAACCAGCATAAGAGAAAATGATTGGTGGAAGATGAGAGCGAGTGGCCTGGCACCGGCGTCAGGAAAGATGAGACAGTTGACGAGGAGCGCAATTGCCTGTCCCAGGAGCCAAGGAACGACGTAGTCTCTCAACTTTTCCCATGCGATGGCGTTGCCGGAAGTCTGAGCGAGAAGAGTAAACGTAATGGCAACGCCTGCGCAGACAACCATTTGGTAGAACCTGGAGTAGTAAGAGCGTATCCATGCTACAATTGCCATGAACCATGCTAGAAAAAGAGCCAAAACGCCACCGTAGCCGGCACTGGCGGCGGAAGTCGACGTGGATAGTAAGAGACCGAGAACTCCCCATCCTACGCCGGCTGCTGTGCCAATGGTGGTAAATACGGCGCCTTCTACCTGAGCACCGAGTGTCCTGGCCGGATGATTCAGTATGACAGACACGGCGATGATGTAGTGGTAGCGGCCGAGCCATTCTCTTACAGCCGGGATCAGACATAGGATGTAAGCTGCGAAATAGGCGGTAAAGGACCTCACGAGACGAAGGCCGGTTCGAGTCGTTGCAATACTTTGGAGCACCAGCTTGAACTCACGAAACTGTCTTGGTAAGAACCGTCGAGCGGCGAATGGTGAATCTTCGTCAAAAGCAGCGGGCAGCGAGGCCCTGGAGCGCTCTTCGAATCCATCCGGCACCAACGGCGTGTGCTTTAGGAACAGCGCGTCAAAGAAGCCATCTCGATCCTCCACCACGCCAAATGTTTCGGGATCAGTGTGGTCGTCTGGGAGAATCTGGTCAATAGGCGCTATGTAAGAGCTGCGTCTGCTTCCGTACTCGGACGGGGCTGCTGAGGTGGTTGTTGTTCTGAGCGGTGGAGCTTGGGCGAGAAAGCGAAGTTTTGTGGAGGTTGGACGGGAGAGCTGAGGAGTTTCATTTTCGGTTGGAGATTGAGCTGGTGATGGACTAGGACTGGGACTAGGACTGGGACTAGGACTGGGACCGAGGCTTCTGGGAGGCGATGAGTTGTTGGGAGCCATTGGTTGCGATGCAGTTGTTGTGTCTGGCTCTAGCGGCTGAGATTGCTAAGCTAAGACTATCATGATAAGAATCTGCATCATAGGTCCAGGATAATTGTCAGAGGCATTGCTGAGGAGTGAGAAATTATGAATGAGAATGAGAATAAGAGGAATTAGAAGACAATTTTGAAGGAAGCCGGGCATAAGTTTGTTATCGCAGTTTCGGTGAGTCTACGGAAAGATTGAAGCCATCACCGGCGTTCGGCATCTGACGTCAGAGGAGAAATCGACTGACGGTCCCCTATTGCGAAGAGTGGCGGTTGAGCATGGGATATAAGGCCAATGACTGAAGAAATCGAGCGATTATACAATTAACATTAAGATACTGAAGAGCAACATGGCAAATGAATGATATTGCTGACGCAATTGCTGTTGTTGCTTTAGAATTGTCGGCGTAAAGAAGCAAGCTTTAGCAGCACTTTGTGGCGCTGAAGGCTTTTCCTTTTTGGGGCTTGTTTGGGAATCCAGCTTCAGGCACTTCCAATTTAGGGCAAAAAATCAGTCAGCATTATAATTTCTTCGTGATTATTTTGCTAAATCACATATAACTTGAACCAAATTTTACGTTCGTGGTTTGAGATGTATCAACTTTTCTACCACGCGGTAGTCTTCATCAAATCATTCAGTTGGAGAGGTTCGTGAATGCTAGGTGTTCTATGGAGAGCTACGCTACCTAGCAGACAAACAGGTATCCGATTCTGCTTTGACAGCCACTTCTTTTTCACAGCTTCTAACACCTCTTACCGACCAAAATGACGGCGGTGTCATGAGCAGCAACGGATGCCGAGTATGAGCTCAGACAGCCAAGACTCTTGCCGCTCCACACATCCTTTACTTGATACCTTCCAGCAGAAAGACCAGGAATCTCTGCCCAGGTTGCTTTCTTTGTAGTCGTCGTGCTCAAAGTGTTGATCAACAACACCAAATGGCCATTCTTCGACGGGCCGGCCCAGAATTCAGCGGGATACGTGCTGTTATAAGTCCAGTCGGGGTTGATGCCCCACTTGTACGGAGTAGCAGGGCCGCCGTAAACATTGTCTTGGTTAAAAGCCAGCAGATCCTTGTTCTTCAGGATGTTGATGTTATCCTGAGACAGCAGACTGATGTCGGTTCCGATGAGAAGGGGAGACTTCATGGCGGCCCACAGAGCAAAGTGCGTGCGCGTCTCAGCCGCAGTCAAGTTGCCGTTGCCAACCTCCAGCATATCGGCGTCGTTATGGCCCCAGAATCCAACCGAGTTCAACTTGAATGAGTTTATGTTTAAGATGTGAGTGACAGAATTCCATTCGGGAGAGATGTCACCGCTCATGCGCCAGCTGATGCCGGTCGTGTTGCCCCAGGAGAAGACGTCCGCCGTGCCCCAGATGCACAGGCTGTAGACGATTTCATGGGTCTGTTTGGCCAAGGCGTCTCTCATGCGGTTGAAACGCTCGGCTGATAATGAAGTGCTCCAGTCATATCCTGGAGGGGCCAGGTTGGGATCAAGAGCTGTGGAGCAAGTGCCATTTGGGCCGGTTGTGACGGCGTCTGGGTCGCAGGCAACATATTGATCTGTCCAATTTGATGGAATGTTGCAGTTGTCGCTGTCAAAGTGGCATTAGCCTATGGGATACCTGGATTATGGTGGAAGATGAATAGCTTCGACTTACTATTTGAGATCTGTTCACAAGAGTGTTGGTTAGAATTACTGCGATAACTTTTATGGTGGAAGATGCACTTACAGTCTACCCCCCAACTGGCGAAATCCGCGGCATCGACATCCTCGTACCCAAGACTGGCCGGATATCCAGCACATGTCGTAGTGCCAGCAGCTAAAAGGTGTTATGAGCATTCTTTCGAGACGATGGATAGAGACTTGACTCACTGCTGTAAATGCCAAATTTTAAACCCATACCATGGATCTTATTAGCCAACCCATTTATGCCGTCGGGAAAGCGAGTCGTATTGGGGGCAATATGACCGTTAACCCGCCCATCCTTCATTGACCAGCAGTCGTCAACTGCAGCAATTTTTAATGCTTATTCGCCAACACCAATGAAAAGAACAACTTACTGTTTACGTAATTGTACCCAGCGTCTAGAAGACCAGAGCTCACAATCAGCTCGGCGGCTGAGAGAAACTTGCTTTCATCGATATCGCAGTGGTAGGCATTCCATGAGTTCCAGCCCAAACTTGGAACTTTTCCCTGCAGTTTTTGGTTTCTTAGTATAAAGAGAATCAATCACAGTCCGGAGAGGATGCTTACAGTTCCACTGGGCATCACAATTGCGCCCGCGCCCGACAGCAAGAAGGCCAGTGCAGCCATAGGCAATGGCTTAATGCCACGACCAGTCGAGTAACGGCCCATCTTCAAACTGGTAGATTGACGTCTCTTTGACTCTTATGAATGCTTTTAAAATGCAATTGGTCTTTGCATCAACAGCCGTTCTTAGAAGGCCTATGCGGATATAGAGCAGTTGAGAGCTTGTCCCCTGTAGCAATGGCAAAGCACATGTAAGCCCTCAATGGCTGTCGATCGTACTTATATACTTGACGTTCCACAATATCCGCTTAAACACCAAGAGAGGGGGTTTGGCATATCATGCCTACATGTAGACTTTACAAGAATAGTCCATCTCGTACGAGGTTGCACCGGAACCAAGCCCAGCTAATGCCGGCTTGACATGATCTAAGACAAAAGTCCTGTTTACACAAGGCATTTGCGCAGGATCGGTTCTCCGCCGGGCCGACCTAGACTCGAATTCAGGAAAGCGATAGTAATTTGACGAAATTCTGTTAAAGCGCACCAACAAGAACTCGAGCCAGACATTGCCGTCCTGCAATGGTAGGGTAGCAACGGAGCTCTCATAGCAGGCAGCCACAGCGGCGATGCTCCGATGAAACCTCATTGGAGACTGGCCGTGACGATGGGCCACCCCCGCAGAGGGACCAAGGATGAGCGGCACACGATTCCTCCGCAAGCTACGTCAGATCCGGGAAGAATCTGGCGATCTTTAAGCCAGAGAAGCGACAAGTCTGGGGTATTTTGGGTCTTTTCAATGCATGGTGGTGTAAATGTATAGTTGAGTAATGTTGTTGCGGAGTTCGGGGTGACTTTATGATACATGTACGTTTCTGTAAATGTACCGGGAGCCGGCAGTTGATCAAATCTGGGGTTCCTGGTAAGGCGAAGGATGACTGACTTTTGCCTATTATAGTACCGATGCCGATTTGAATAGGGTAAAGTCTCTCGCTTAGAAGTCCATAGTTGTAGAAGAGACTCTTTGATTGTTTACGCTTAGACGTTTTCATTTAACCGGTAGACCTATCCACCGCGTACTACAGGCCATTAGTGATACACCGCTAATATGGTTATTATCCCCAAGTGTATTTTTACCTACTTGTTTTCGCCACCGGTATGGAAATTGTAAGATAAAAGCCGACGGTAAATTGTATCTCTATGTGGGTTGAAGAATCTCTGTAAGTGACAACTCATATAAACTCTATCTGAAGTGGTGCTACAAAGAAAACGTGTACTGTGATATGCCCGAGTATATCCCCAATAGTGATGCATACGAGTCGTTGATTGGCCCGGCTTTAGCGGTGCCTAGCATGGAAGGAAGCTCCAGAATTATTCCATCATATTTGAGTCGATAACTCCAGCATTTGGCCTTGCTGTCGATTGTAATATTGTTATCGATTCGAACAGAAAATAAATCTGGTTCAAGGCTGGAAAGCTCTCCGATCGATTGACTTCATGATGTTCAATTTCTTGTAATCGGCCATTATTTAGCTGATCATCCCAGGGAATTCTTCCTCGGCTTGAAGCCCAGCGCCGCTGGTGCATCCTCTCTGGAACCAAATCCTGCTCTATTCCATCTCGACGGCCGACAACAGCTGGAGGTGAATGGCTGTCCAGGAATAATGTATCGAGAAAAGTATCATTTCGTTATTTGCTTCTTCCAGAGTTATAAGGCTAATGGGGTATAATTAAAACACTCTCTGGGACTCGCCTGAGCGCCTCCGCTACTCAGTATCTGTGTCTTGTGCTGTAATCCTTTGGGCTGACCACCAAACCTCTGCCCTTCTTTGCTCCCCTGTAGATCGTCTCAATAATGTCGATGAGCTCCTGCTTGTCCTCCAGTACCCAGTTGAGTTTGTTGTTGTTACCAGTTCCAAAATCGCACATCATGTGCTTGTTGCGAAAGAAGAATAGGATGGAACAAGGGTCGTACAACTCGTACATGGCGTTGAAATCGGGAACCTGCTTCGAATTAGGAACAGCTCGTACGGATGGAGGGAGCATAAAACACACCTCGTCGATATCGCAAAGGTAGATGACGGCGAAGTTTTTGACTCGATCAGCTATCTTGTAGAGCACTTCATCTTGCAGCATGCAGTCCTAGAGATAGTCAGAATACAACGAGCTAGAGGAAAGAGTTTCGTAAGATATATGAGAGCTCTTACCCGATCATGGTCACGTCCAAATCGGATGACAACGAGACGATCTTCCTCTATATGAAACGGTCAGCACCAGAATTAGTGGGTTGGATCCTGTGCAGTCGAGTACACAAAAGGAAAGGTCTTATGAACCGCCATGAAAGAAGAAAACTAACCGGATAAGATGGCCTGGTCGACGTGCCAGCCGGAGTTGAGATGCGGAAGAACGACGGATCCCATTATGAGATTCTTGATGCTGGTATAGTGGAGATGACGATTGCAGCCTTGAGCCAGTGACGCTGAGATTTTGGCTGGCGGTAGATCGGCTAGAGGTATTGCCGTGCCGTGTGGCTGGATTTGTGGCGACGCATCCGTGGCTTTTAGTGCACGGACAGCCTGGAGTCGACAAGAGTGCCTGTATTCAACTAAAGCAACGATGTGTGGCGATATCTGCGATAATTACAGCACAGATTCATGTCAAAATGATCGAATATCTTTGTCCGAAATGTTAACAAAAGTACCTGTAATCTTATTGTGACGAT